GGGGGGGGGGGGGGGGGGGGGGTTGGTAACTAACCTGGTTTTCAATTTGGATAATTTTAACGGCATTCCTAGTCTCTTCGGTGCGATCTGCGGTGACGCGGATGTTGGCAATGGCCCGACACCGCGAAAACGTCTTCGCCACACGAGCCAATCGCAGATCGGCGTACGTCCGTGCTCTGGCCTGTCGCCTAGGCGACGGTGAGCCTCGGATAACCGGCATGGACTGAGCGGCCTCCGGATTGGCCTCAATTTCGTCCTCGTCGGAGCCAGACAGACTTGTGCTGGTGGCCGCCAATAAGCTGCGGATTCCTTCGTCGTCGAGTAGCGTGTGAGCAGTCATGTGTTCTTCTCGCCTTACTGGTTTGGGATTATGCAGGGAGACTGTTGAGGCACTTAGAACCAGCGATGGGTCGATGGCTGAGTCGACGGCGTCCAACGACGTATCGACCGATTTTACGACCGCTTCGCCACCCTTCCCGTGGCACTGTGACGTGGTCTTAAATGTAATACCAATATTCCCTCGTTACTGATAAATAATTAGTAGCAATGTTAGTTCGGAAAAATATTGCTACCTTCTTCCCCGTGGGGTACTCTTTGAGAAACTGCGAGATGTACGTCATGATCGACCGCTCATCCGGATTTTCAACATCCACGTCTGCAACACAGAAAACTGATCAGGAGCTGTAGATTCATGAGATATCAGACGCAAGTGGGTGGCAGTACGAACCTTCCACGTCCAACAAACGCGGAATCCCAAGGCACTTCTCTGCTGCACTGAAGGCGATTTCAAGGTTCGTCTTGTTGTCGCTGGATCCAATTTTGGCCAAATCTACGCAACTTGGATCGATGCTGTGAACTAGGGCGCAGAACGCACGACCGTCACGCCAACCGACTCCGAAATCCTTCACCTGATGAAGCCCAAGTCGCCTGAAACGCGTGGTAATCTTCGAGGTGACACGAACATATTACTTATTCTCTTTAAGTAGGGAAATAATTTAATACTCGAGAGTTGATGAGATGCGTCGGCCAGTCCACGCGATAAGGGCTTTCCTGCGAGTTGCCTGGGTTTCAGGAATATTGATTTTCTGCGTCGGAGTTTCGGCAGATCCGTTCAACTGAACAGGTCTTTTCTTAATGGATTTTTCCACGATCCTCGTTGCATCTTGAAGAACATCGTCATGTTCATCGATCTGTCACAATGAGAAATACTCGTGGGGTTACGAAGACGATATGCGTGTGCTGACCTAGTCAAACCTCAAGAAGCTGATTGGTCAACTCCAAGGTCAATTAATATTATGCGTTTTTTGAATAATGAAACACTTACCACGAGCTTAAATCTTGTAACCACTAATAAAGGATGCCGGAAAAAATTAACAATGACAACTTTTGCTTGCCGACCTGGTTTGAGATTGCAAAGCAGCTCATTGGTGCGTTTCAAGGTTATCCCATGGAGTCTAAATCGATTCGATTATTCAAACTAGAGTCTTCGATTTTTAGTTATTCGCAAATTTTAAACAAAACAATGGCGAACACAGCTCCTAAACATGTCGCATACATTTGGCAAATTTGTGCATTATAAATAAAAAGAAATTGAAGGAACAAACAAAAATAATTTTCATAAAAACTACATGTCATTTATTCAAAAACGCGTATGGAATTTAGCAAAAAAATTGACTATGCAAAAGGGGGAAACAGAACACCGGAAGTTTTCGCATGAAATGCAATAATTTGCTGGTCAGTATGTGGCGGAAAATTATGAGAGCTTTCTGAAATCTCTTTGCATATTCCAACACCACAACAGAAGGTAAAAATTCAATTAATTTTGTTTAAATTGATTAAATTAAAATCTAAACAGCCTCCACGGGCCTATAAATTTCAAACGGTTTCTCGCGAATGGTAATCTATTATCGCGGGGTCTAGATTTTAAATCAATTTTTGAATCAGTAGATTATAAATGCAGTGAAGTAACCAAATAGGCGAGCTGATGTCTCACTTGAAACGAGAGAATAATCGACCAAATGAGGCCAAGAACAATTGCCGGTCTGCCGTCGACAACGTCGGTTGCGTTGATGTTCACCAACTTCACCTGAAAGACGACAACACACATTTCAAGGCCTGGACGCTTTCGCCAACTGCGTCTCCACTTGGGTCAACACACCTTCCTCTCCTCCGTCAGGAAATCCAGTCCAGTCTTGACGTTGCTGAGGTAGTGCGCCCGCTGCATCACAGATGCCCTTTCTATTGGCTACAAGTAGAAAAAAACGTTGGTAAGCAGAGCCACACATCCCATGCTTTACCAACTGCTCGGGATGAGTTTGGAATGCTTTATAATCGATCCGGTACATTCTTGGTATATATTTTTTGAAGTTACTGATACGGACGTAGAATTACGATCACGGAAGAGGCGTGGAAAACGATGGAGCTTACCAAACGAACGCCCGCCAATACTTCGAGCAAGCGAAGCAGTTTGATGCCATCTCGAATGTCAGTGAACAGATCTCGCACGTAGTCCGGAGGTGTTGCCTAAAATGACGAAGGACACCTTACTAGGAGACTTCTACGTAGACAGCTTTATCCCATCCAGACATCCCGTTGATTGGGCGGTTATAATAATCCGCGTTTTTCTGCAGTCTCAGTTGGTTGGTCAGTTGGGACTCGTCCAAGTTCGAGCCCTACAAACACTGCTGAGTGTACTTCCACGGAAGGCATTCCATTGATGCTACGCGTATTCAGGAGCGGTTAGATGCTTCCAGATTCCTCCAGGAGATGCAGACTAACATCCGATTGGTTTGCTCATTTATTATTGATTTTTATCAAGATTGAGCGCAATTTCTATCGTCAAACCCACACGAGAAAATTCAACCAATGAGAAATACGCGTGTGTGGAGCCAAAATTGATTTTCCAGATAGACAAGGTCATTTTGCATAGGTAAATTCTGCATAATCTACGACTGTTTTTAGGGCATCCAGCATGATAAAAAAAAAGATTAAAAAAATATTTTTTAGAAAAATCTGCTTTTGAGTAAAACACCACTCACTTTTGCCAGATAAGCATTGATCCAATTCGTGAAGGTTTTCTTTTGCACACGTTCCTGTTCCTCTATTCAAACGAAGGCAGGTGTGAACCGTAGATTAACAAAGAAACGAAGACAGGCTAAGTTGTCCGCCGATTTGACGGGATTTGGCAGAAATTAAAATGATTGGTTTCATCCAATCTGGACTCACCAGTCAGTTCAATGACAAACTCCATTCTTGGGGTTCAACGACGACCACAAACTCACTAGGCTTTCGCGAAAGTCAGACATTAAACCGTGTCATTCCGGTGGGGCTGTGGACGGCTATTTAAGGCTGCTGAGCACGCGTGTCAAACCAACCGCATGTCGACGCCCATACTCGCTCGCGATTGGCTGCTGCGTTCAATGACTCACATGAGGGGTAGCTATGGCGACTGCCAAAGCAGGCGCACGCACGTACGCACCGGAAATGCGCCGAATCGACGTCGCCATTGCACCGGTGTCATTCATGGACCAAAAACTCGTACTTATACCTGCATAGTAAGTGGTATTTTATGGACTCACAAGTCTACCGGAAGCAGACCAATCGCGTCGAGCTTGAATTTTTTTTTCAAATTCCCGACTGATTTGTGTATAATCAATGATTCCTCTGTCACAGTTCAAAAAACGGTGCCGGGAGGCCGAAAAAGCCTGGTGAACAGGGTGAGGACTTCTCAAAATCCAACATCTACCCAGATGGCTGATCCTCGATCTCATCACTGACGCTGTTTGCAGTGCAGGCAAACCATCCAATCAGACTTGGTGTTGTCATGGCAACACGATTATTGTTGTTGGCGGGAAGAACAACAAACATGAGGTGATAGTGGTGAAATAGCGCCGCCTAATTGGCATGCATCGGTTCCTGACGCTGCGCATGACATTTTTTTCTCACCGGCACCATCCTCATCTCCGCTTCTTTAAGATCCACGTGGAACGACCGCATCGAGGGGCCGTTTTCCCAGGGCAGTTGCATCAAAGACGACCACATGACTGACACTGGGGGAGGCGGGGGCGCATTCCACGTTTTCACATTCTCTAGTGAAGCAAAACTTAAGTTCCGTAATTCTAAAGCACTCATTTCCGCCGCATAAGTTGAGTGGAGAGGGTGAAGGGTTGTGATAACATGAGGACGCAGCCAAATTGAAGGAAAATTTTTATGTTAGACATAAAACACACATTTAGGGGAAAAGGTGGGTGATTTCTCTATCAGGAAATTCTGTAATTTGAGATTGACCAATAAGATGAGTGCGCGGTCGATATGAAATGGTGTGCATGTGGGACATAAAGAGGACAAGACTAAAATCCATGAGCAGGGGTACTTAAAATCGAAGACAATGAACACTTGTTGGTCCCTCGTTAATTTCCCACATCTTTTCCCCAATATCCTTCTCTCTTTTGGCACAAAATCATGTCTGAACCGGGCTGACAGACACACAAGTCGAATGTGGTCAGTGGGAAAAAATAAGTGTAAACAAACTCAATCGGAATTAGGCCTAAGAGGGCAGTAGCGTGTTCAGATCATCTTTACATCCCCGCTTTAAGACGACGCTGGGTTGCTGAGTGGTCATCAATTGATTCAGCAAAACAAGCCCCACAGGAGAGTTGGCAAATCTCATCACACACACACACATTCACTTCCCTGTACTGACTTGTCACAGTGAAATGATGGCCGAGATCGGATGACCTCAAGTCAGTTTGTTTAAATTAGTTGGAACTATTTGCGCGCTCTCTTTGAGAAGCAAGTGCCAACAGACGGCCACGAAACTCTGAACCAACAAAATTAGTGACAGACTAATAAAACGAAGAGGTTTTCAAATTGACCAATCAGAAGTCGATGTGCTTGGCTGAATAATCCATTCAAGTTACAGCGAATCAAATTTTTTTGCCACAAAGAATGCGTCCACAGGTAACCGTGATTTTCTGCTCAGGTGACTTTGACCCAACAGCCGGACTCTTGTTTTCGAAACTGTGGCACAGTCATTAATACACCCAGTTTGAGCATTAAACCTGGAGTTCATGAAAATTCACAAACCTATTTTAGCATAAAGTTCCTGTGGGCACGGAAAACGCAGATCATAATATTTAGTAATCACGCCAAACCACAAAACACCAAGATACTTTCAGCCGAGAGAAGCCCAAAATGCTTCCAACAAGGTTGCTGTATCTGCTCGGCCAATAAGTGAGCCGATGTAGATGATGATTATCAGTACTACTCGCCGATATTAGCAACGCCGGTAATTGTTTCTGTATTTGTTGCCTGTGGACACAACTGTGGAACCACACAACGTGGAAATGCACACCAATAATTCACACTCAGGTGCTTGCGTGTGTCTACTTACGAAGCCGTTTCCGCGTGGTGTGCTCCGTGTCGAAAATCGGTATCGCCTCACCCCTAACCACGATGCAGTCCCAGGACTCGGCGTTGCGAACGCCGAAGGCGAGACGGCAGTAGAGACTGTAGCCAGACGTGCCACCGTCTAGGCTTCCGCGTGGACTGGAGAAGAGACTGTCGCAGGAATCGCCGAAGGAGTGCATTCCATCCACCGTGGGCAAGGTGAAGAAGCCAACGTCTTAGGCCTCGCAGCAGTGTCTTATCCAACGGAAGGCCTTAGGGCATTTAACCATGCGACTGATGCCTTGCCTCACCCCCGCCAACCAATCAGGTAACGGCTCTGCACATGAGCCGGGAAGTTTAAATTTGATGCGTGTGTGGGATGGGAACGGGAGGCGGGGAGGGTGGGGGGGGGAAGAGGGATGAGGATCGTGAGGGAAACAAAACGGTAACACACACACACACAGAAACTCATTACAATCATCACCAGCATCGCCATTATCCTCGGCAAGTTGGAGAAAATGAGACGGGGTGGTTGGTGGTGGCTAGTTGGCGGGGCAGTTGAATAGGCCTCATTGTGTTTGTACAAAAGTTGAAAACAACAATCTGACGAACTCTCATAATGCAAAAATTGGGAGTTTGTGTAAGTGAAATAAATTTTGTCTGAAGACAATTAAAAATTAAGTAGGAAATTATGGCCCCAATTACGAGGTCAACGCCCCAGATACATAAAACCCTGGTCACATGAATAATGCACAGGGATTATCAATCTTAATGTCTGCTTAAATTTAGCCAATCATAAGAGACTTGGAGCAAGTAAAATTTTAAACTCACCGCGGTATCGAATTGAGGTGAGGTAGCCCCCACGACCAGGCGTTAGCATGGCGCCTCAAGATGTGTGTGGAATGGCTAGCGGACAAAGCCCCGCACCCCAAACACCCACACGCGTGCACCCGGTACTCGGACAGGCGGGAACCAATCAACTGTGTACCAGCTGACATGGAGGTGACGCAGTCACTTTTGATTGGTTAGAAGGGGTTCTGAAATACAAAGAAAATTGGGACTTTTTAATGCTAAATTTAAACGTTAAACCCCTTGATTCTAATTGAGAGTTGCGTGTTTTTCACGAAATGAAAATTTTCTTTCGGCTAATTCAGCTCATTCATGTGACGTCAAACACCACATTTCACAGACAAACTGCTCTACTGGTGGAATATAAGTAGAGCGATAATTATTTTTTTGTGTTCAACCAACCTGGTAAATTTGAATCATTAAACACCACATTGCTCTCTTACTTTAAAAAAATCCCTTTCGTCGTATTTTTTATGTTCTTTCAATCGGTGAAATTCTGTCAGTAGTCTAGTAACCTGCTAAGTCATCCAATCACAAGTCTCTCCCCCGGGGTATCGTTATCATTGGATGTTTGGAGATGTTGTGACCAATCACACACAACTAAGGAAAAACGCTACCACAGTGACTGCGTTGAAATGGCGACGTGTGATGCCGGTGGAGAGCGCGTATCCATAGAAGACGACCAGGATGTGATTTTCGTGTTCGATAAGGGTTCACGCTCCGATACACAGAAGATGGGTTACAACTGCTCTTTGAGTTGTTTTATAGTCGAGAAGCATTCCAGGTCCATTTGTTATCCAATCAAAGCAGCACAAGAGGTAGGATCACCCAATTGGACAACCTCAAGGTCAAAAGACAATTATCAAGGCACATCTATTCCCATTTTCTGGTAAATGGTCGTTGATTGGTTCCATGAAACCACTGTCTTCTGTAAGTGCGACCCTGAGCAGTTCGTGGAAATGAGGTGCTAAAAATTCAAAACCGTCCACTTAGCTGAGGGAAAGGGGACAATCGCCCCTATCATTGACTATAGGGAAACCGCTGTGTCACCGGAGGTGCGCCTGTTTATTCTCCAAAACGCCATCTAACTAATCAGAGTCTTTGTAATTTGGTTTCTGGAAAGCTGAGAGGCAAAATGACCAGCCAATCGACTAAAGCCTCTATCAATTGCCCAATTAGGGCATTGCCTCAAGGTCGGAGCAAAAAATATGCCTGGATTCATGTTATGCATGTTTTCAGACTTGTTGATCGTGCCACAGAAAAAGATGATGATGACGATAGTTATGCACTAGCCAATGAAATGAACTCTGCTTCTTATCTGCCATAAACTCACGATAGGCATTTCAGCCCATTGATCTCTGCCCCTACGAAACCTCACTTTGTCGCAGCAAAGTTACCGACGATTGCAACCAACCAACCACAACTGTTCCTCAAGGCCAAAGCTGTGCTTGCTTATCGATGCGGGCGTCATGACGAGGTGGTCTTAATTCTGAGCGCCAGCCACTTCTCCCGTGAATAAGATGCCGAACTTCAAAGCCCCTGGTACCAGACGCCCTACCTGGAATCAGAGATGTCCAGAGTCAGTCACTAGGATCTGTCAGGCGACACCATCAGCCGCCACAGACGATCTGGGACGGTGAGGAGTTGACCTACTGCCTCAAACTAAATCAGGAATCATCGCCAATACACTCAACCCAAAGAACGACCGACCGAACAACACAGACGTTCAGATAAATCAACTACTAAGCCCTATTTTGTGAATAATGGTTACAGCGTCTGCACCAGGAGCAGCCACAGCTTCTATGCTGGCCGCTCTGCCAATTTTAGAGGTGTCTATTCTACCAATCAACAGACAAGCCTTAATATTCCAGATTTTTCACTGTAGATCAACCATACAGCGTGCTTTCAACAAACCTACACATTTATGTCGCATTCCTCGCGAATGCCACGTTAACGAAATCTTTGATAAAGCGGATTGAACAAGTATTGAATTGTGCTTTTAAGTGTAATGAGTATAGTGGACAAATACTTCCTAAGCAGAAATTACAATTAGCTGCAAAATTACGGCTCAAAGTGTGCTGATGTCAATGTATTTTGTTTGACACAATCCATTCGGGCCTTGACGACTGACAGAATTTTAAAATGGCCGCTCACCACCGGCAAGAGTACATGAAAAAATTAAACAGCTTTTGCATGTCATTAAAACTACAGGCAGAAGGAATTGACAATTTTAATCAGAAAATCCACCAGTGTTTCTGGAAACCAACCAGTGAGTATTTCGCTACAAGCAGTCACGAGGCGATTTACTTTAAATCACTAAGTTATTTAAAAATTTCATTAATGTAAGCCATTATGAACAGTACCAATGACATGTTGCCTCGATGCAGTATACTAGACTATTAAGGTCTTCATGCAGAACTGCTTTATGGAATGTTGCATCTAATATTGAATGTAAGGCAATGCTAGGAACTCACAGTCGACGAATTATATATTTGAAGGGAGCAGCCTTAGAGCTAGCTCAAAACTTATAAAATGTGCTAAGAAGTAAAAAATCATTCTAGATTTAGCTATTTAAATTAACGAAAAATATGATTATAAAGGAAATCATCAAATTTTGAATTAAAATCAGTGAACTAAAGAACACTTCAAAAAAACAGGAACCTTTTAATAATTGTTTTTGCATTTGTATTTTAAAAAGGGTTCACTTTTAAGAAGAAAACAGAAAATAAGATTTGGTTTTTGGGTTTAGCTAAAATTACGACAAATTTTACCAACTTTCACGAATAAAGCATCTAGCAAAAAACGCTGCACTGGAAAATAAATTGACGTTTAAAAATATTTATTAATTAATTTATTTAACAGATGATAAACTTTGGTTGTGAAGTAACTATAATTCAAGTTTCGTGTCTGATCTGCGCACAATCTAAGATGTCCTTGAAGGTGTGCCTACTGTTTACATAAATTGTGCGTTGTTTAATTTTTAAGATGAATTGAATCAATGGAAAATTACGACAAAATCCGAAAGATTGGAGAGGGTGCATTCGGTGTTGCATGGCTTGTAAGCTGCAAGAAATCGAAGTCTTTGAAAGTGATTAAGGAAATAGGCATATCAAGGGTATGCATTATTGTTTTGTTTCAGAATATAATTTGGCTAAGTCATTTCAGCCTGACGTGTTTAGCAACTTTTATGAACTACTTATGTTGTAAATTCATAAGCTTGTTACGAAATGCTGACATTTTTCTGGTCAATAGCTTTCGAGTCCCTCCCACGTTCATCTAATAAATTAAGAGTAAATGTAAATTAATGTCGTAATCGACCATGCAAAATTTTGTACATTTTACTTTACTCAGTCCCTTGAATATTTTAAATATTTGAACGCACTTTATATTGCTTTAATGGCTGCCTAATGTGCTATAACTCGTAGCGCAAATTTTTCTTTGGAATGTAATTATTTAACGTCTAATAACAAAGACAGATTTTCGAATCCTTTTAAAGTTCAAATTAACTTTATATTTTTGGGACATATTCAACATCTAAAATGATATGAACCATTTGAATATCGTGTCTGTATAGAAAATAGCCCATGTTACCTCTTTACGAGCCGCCCATGATGTTGGTTGCAGCGAAGGAAATCCCTGTATATCGCCCTTCACTAAATGATCTACTGTTTTATGATAATTTGTTAGAAGCGTAGTGATGATTGAGAAAAAAATATTGTATAGGCCTACACCGACCTTAGAAGCATTGTATACACCATACACTGGTATAAAGTGTTATTACACACTTAATAATTAATAGTAAAGTTCTCATTTGTAATATTGTAGATGAACCAAAAGGAAATCGACGAGTCCAGACGTGAGGTTTGGGTGCTTCTTCAAATCTCACAACTCTACCTTGTAGATATCTGTCCTTGCCAAAATGAACCACCCTAATATCGTCAAATATTGCCACTCGTTTGAAGGTACTGCTTTGTTTTTTGGTGGTGTACATTTCACTTTTTAATGAAGAATCCGATGCAATTCACATCGTGATGGAGTTCTGTGACGGCGGAGATCTCTACTCCAAGATTAACTCCCAAAACGGTGTCCTTTTTGCCGAGAACGTGGTAATGAGGACTCAGTTAATTGCTTGACGTAATTCATCAGATTCTAGACTGGTTCGTCCAGATTGCCTTAGCGGTGAAGCACATTCACGATCGCATGATCCTCCACCGAGACATCAAGTCACAGGTGAGTGAACAACTTGTCGTTGCCTGAACCGCTGTAGAATGTCTTTCTTACGAGCAAGGGAAGAGTAAAATTGGGAGATTTTGGCATTGCCAAGGTGCTCAAAGGTACCTTGGACTTGGCGCGAACGTGCATCGGCACGCCGTATTACCTCTCGCCGGAGATTTGTGAGAACAAGCCCTACAACAACAAGAGCGACATATGGGCAATGGGCTGTGTGCTCTACGAGCTCACCACTCTGAAACACGCGGTAAGTCAGAAACGACGCCTACCGGGCTAGCTAATGTCGTTTGTCTAGTTCGACGCCGGAAATATTAAGAACCTCGTTCTGAAGATCATAAGGTAAGGCTTTTTCGAGGCGGGCGCGCCAATACGTGTTATTGATTTAGAGGGACGTATCCACCCATCTCGCCAAAGTATAGCGCAGATTTGCGAAATTTGATTTCAAAGTTATTCCAACGAAATCCGCGGTGAGTGTTAAAACCATGTTGTATTCAAAATTTTGAAAAATGCGCACTTTGATTGTGCTACATTGGAGTGGAACTTAAACCGAAACTTGTCGATCTGTAATACGTTACTTTCTTGTTTTAATCTGCTCCCCACAGCCAATCGAGAACGTGCAAATGCTGCTGTGTTTTATAAAACCAGGATCTTATTTTTTTAAACCTGCATCGACATTTTAAAGGAAATTTTTTTGTGATCATCTGTGCCGATTTAAAAGGATCAATTTAAAAATAGTTTTAGAACACATTAACTTATGACTTTAAGTAGACGCATTTATATTCATTAAACAGCAAATAACTCTTTTCGCATTCTAACAAGGCATGAAAATATATATTTCTGGTTTTAAACATATTAAAAATGTTGTCCTTTTAAGAGGGAATGTGATATTATATTTACTTTCTAAAATAAATACGCATGAACGGATATTCGTAGCACAGTTATAAGTCATTTAAAATTGAGGAAAATTAGAAATTACGTTTTGCATTCGCTTAAATTACTCAATATCACAGTAGTTGATCTGCTTAATTTAAACAAGTGCCTGAATTCGACAGTCAAATCTTTTTAGTGAACGTCCAAGTATCACTGCAGTCCTGAAGCTTCCACTTATCAATTCTCGGATACGTCACTTCCTCAGCACGTCTGTAAGTATTTCAAGGCCTTTATACCGTTCGAAAAAAATATCATCAAATCGAGACATGCAGAGGTGAGCTGATCAATAATTTGATTCTGCGTTTCGATTTTTCTGTCTAACCGGACACACAAACCATCAGTTATGTGTGCAGAAACTATCTGGTTTGATTAGCAATGATACCTGCTTGTCCCTGCTAACCCATCTTCTCGAAATTATTTTAAAACTTCCGCGGTCGTACCGCTTTTCGTCGCTAGTGGCAACGCGGTACTTGATGATTGGCTTGAGCTGTTGGTTTTGGGTCAGGGAATAATGCACCACACAAAACCACCATTTTCCACTGGCTCCAAATCACGTCAAATGGTCTGCTCGTTACACCAAACATTTTTGCAATTAATTTCCAACAAATGGTCCTGTAGTGGACCTTGATGGACCGGCGAGAGTTGAAGTCACTCTGTGCAGATTTACTGCAAGTTGATTGGTCGTTGTGACTCACTCCCGCATTTCATTGGTCGCTCTGCCATCCATTACTTCAGCAGCGAGTCTGCATCTAAGTCACAACCATTAATGTTGTCGTCTGTGTCATGAATCATTAGCGCCGTGTCTAAAGTGCAAATTGACGCAGTTAGACACAATTTTTGTGGTTTTACTCGATTTCAAGATCGTACTGCAGAGCTAATGGGATTGGTCGGCTCGAATACGGCTGTTGGTCTAATAATCATCTTTTTGTAGGAGCAGAAAACAGAATTCAATGACGCGACACACAAAGCAATGAAGCGTCCCGTCAAGCCTCCTTCACCGTTTCTTGAAAACCGACTGGCCGACAAAATCACTCGACCTAGGTAAAATCCGGTGCTCTCTGGTAAAAATGTTAGGTCCATTCTGTAAAATCATTCGCCATTCAGTGGCCTATTTTACCTCGAAATCAGCTAGAGGCCAACACAAACCATGTTCGCTCTCATTTCAGCCCAATTGTCGTCAAGCAGTCGATCGACGCGAAGGCTAAGTTGCCGCGTTCGCCCAATCCCCCACTCAAACACACCACCAACCACATTGTGCGAAGACGTGAGCTGTTGGTTTCTTTGCATCAGCGGAAACAGAAGGGCATTGCTAGACAGTGCAAGGTGCGTCATGCGATTCAAACAAATGCGGCAAGATTTTCAAATAGTTTAGTCACTTCAATCAATTTTTTTCTACTCTTGCGGGCACTTCTATTGGTAAATCTTGGTCTATTACCGACATTTTTTCGTGCACCAATCGGATTCTTGACTTAATTCAACATTTTCAACCTCGGCTTCCATCCAATCACGTTCGACTATGTCCTCCAATCAAATATCGGGTAGTTTTCTGTTGATTTAAATTAGACTAATTACATCGTAATTTCATGTGTGAATTTTAGAAACACTTAAAATACACGCAATGATTTCGGACAATATATTCTTTCGTTTTCAGGCCGCGCTGATTGAAAGGCCAAAATGTAGCGCACGTCGACACGTCACGCCTGTCCCTAATCGAGCCAATCCCAGAGCACTACAAGCAGCCAATGATAAGGTTAGTTTCGTGGGTGGCAGCTACTGAGTTCAAAAAGGCTTGTTGATGCTCTGGATATCGCATCCATCCGCCTCTTTAGTGTCGGGACTCGGACTCGGGCGTGTCGTCGGCACGGCAGGTGGCGGCTTTTCGACTGAAAGGTGGAGTCGCCGGTGCCGTGGTGAGTCCAATTGTGTCTCCGCGTTGCGTGCGACTGGATCTGGTGCGTGTGGGCAGCTTGGAGCGGTACCGCAAGTACTTCGCTGCACTCGACGACCTCAAACGCAAGGCTCGTCTGCGCGATCGGAGCGGTAAGGGTACATTAGTCACTCCCTCACAACCCCTCGAAGGAGTTCGTAGCCAACTATGCTTAGCACGACGTGACAACACAGTACACAGTAAAAATGTCTGCTAAAATTCCATCTGGGTGTGAATTAGGCGACTTTGACCGAGGCTAAGGTGAATGAGCCAATGAGGTGGAAGCGGCCACTTTGAATGAGCCAATGGTTTGGTGTCTATGGTGAAGCAGGATTTACGCCTTCTCAAATAGGTTGTGTGTTTTACATCGCATTCTCTCACTTGTTATTTGGTCCACTTTCGGTTTATTAAACTTCTGAACTTTCACAAGAACCGATTTAAAATTTTTGTTGACTTGAAACTACCATTTTCATGAATGTTTAAGTAACCGGCCTCATACACTTGAGCGAATTGGGTCCTTTCAACTGTAAGCGTGGATGGGTATGAAAATTATTGTCTTGGCGATTGAATAAAGCCTGAAATCTTCGAGATGCAGGGACTAACGCCTGACACGCCCTGTTGCCATGGCATCACAGCAACCACTATTGAGTCAAACAACAGTGAGACATCTGCATTACTCATTCTTGCTGGATTAAAACATTCCCATAAATTTGAAAGCTGTAAATATTTTTTTGTGAAATTTGTAAAAGCAGTTAAATTTCTGACTAAACCGCTTGCTTTCCTCTCGCTTGTAGGCCGCGACAGCCAACAATCTGATCCATTCCATGATGCTGATTCGAACACCGCTTCTATCAATACCTCGGCATTAGCTGTTATCGGGAAACCAGGTAATGACGTGTCCGCTACCCTATTGGTCAGATCAGAACTCTGCGATTTGTATCGTAATGTGACTCATCAGCGTGCCAAAAAAGGCGAAAATACCTGAACGTAAACGAAAAGAGCTACTTTTTCTTAGTTGCAAGGGTGTATCCAAGTGTGAAAGGCAATAAGGACGCGTGTGGATCCATTCCAGTGGTTAAAGAATTTCTCGAGTGCCGATTGGCTGCTGCCAGGAATCGGGCCAGATCGGACAATCGATCGTACGGCGTAGCCTCTGCCCTCGGTGCGCCATCAATACGTAAGTTCCCATTCAGCCTCCTGTCGAGATACAGAATCTTGCTGTTTCACAGCCAGAAATCCAAGTTGTCAGCCAATAAACAGTAAGCTACTTAGAATGGTGCATGAGCCAATCGGGTGGAAGCGCGGTCAATGTGAGATTGTGTGCGGGATATAATGTTTTGCTATTTTCATCATTTAGCCACCCAAGATGCGTTAATTGGCCCATTTGGCGAGGTAAGGTTAAATTTTTGTGCGTTTAACACCTAACCGCACACAAAAATCCTGTACTTAAGCGCTGAACTTCTCTCAATCAAGGTTGTATCAACTGAGCAGGAGTTAGTTAATCGCGAACAGGCAATTTGCAAGTTACTGGTAAGCAGTATTTGTGCGCTCTGTTTTGTTTTAATTATTAACGCCTTTCAAATATGCTGCTGTTGTTGTTGTTTTAGCGGCAGGCTGAAAGTCGCGCAGAGGAATTGAGAAGGGAGTTGCAAAAGGAAGAAGCAAAGGTGTTTACAGCATATATTACTTATGAGTGCATTTAAGTAGGTTGGAAAGTGTCGCCTACCATGACAAAGTATTCACAAATTTTACCACATGGTCAATCTTCGATATACTTTATGCAAATAACGCTTGAGATGAATGACATCAATACTTTGCCATTCTGTCAATTAGCCAAATCTTCCTCGCGAGTCTCAGTTTGAGGAGCCTGGAGGCAGTGTTCCTGAAAAGTGAGCTATTTTTTCAATATTTTCATATAGTACTCGCAATATTTAAGTAGTGGCGCATGTAATTATCTACCCCTTGCCCCAGTGTCGCGTGCTTTGAACCGCCTGATGACGTACCCTCGCTTTCGTGCCTGCTGGAAAGCCTCAAAACACCGTCGCCTCCGCCGTCATCGACGGCAGAAACACCGTCCGCTGACCGTCACCTCGGTGGAACGAAACAGCAGCTGATTCAGGCGAAGAAGGCGATCATTCTGCGACGACTGAATTCGCACTCACTGGAAGACGTTTCTACGCGCCCCACAAACAGACCATCCAGCGAAGGCATTGTTCCAGGACGAGATCGGAAGCCCTGGAACAAGGGTCCGGCTTCAGCACTCCTTCAGCGTCTGAGTTGCGCTGATTTGGACTCAGGTGCGTCGGTGGCGTGCGCTACTGCCGACGACCGCGAATCCGAGTCTGACGCCACGACACTGCGACAGGTTGACCTTGAACCAACCCTGACCTTTGATCTCCCGCGAGCAAGATCCTTGCTCCTGACTGATTCTCGAATGTTGGGTGAGTCATTGAGCGTTTGTTTGACGCAAAAAGCCTGCAGCGTGTAGAATTCCGTCAGCTAGGGTCACTTCTAGGTTTGGTTGATCTGCCACACTTCTAAACGCGTCCAATTTTGTATGTGATTCAACCAGTCAGACGTCAGAGACATTTGTGAATTCAACACCTTGACCTTTGACCTTCGGATTTTGGTGGTGCGTTTTAGACACCACAAGGACCCTTGTTCCGGCCAAGGAAACCACAGCAACCGAAAAGGATGTCTCTGTTACCATGGAAACCAGCCTTGAGGGAGCTGAGGTAAGATATTTGATGGGTTCCTCCATCTAGATTAGTTTGTAATAGATTGTAGATTTGGCGGATTTAATTATGACAGTGGGTATGCAAAACGTGTCACAAACACGGCGCCAATCGACACTTGATTGGCTGAAATTGACTTAGGGCAACCAATAAGTGTTACCGAGTCGATACTTCGCCATTAGCTCTGCTTATTGTGTCATTGATCGTGGGGCATGATTGGTTTCGTGGTAATGTTTATAGAGCCTGTCGCAATGCCCCCGTGTGCAGCGTCGGTCAGTATAGTTTCAACAAACATTTCTCAATATCTCATGTCGACAAAATACTTACTACTATCAAACTATTAGTAGATATTCATATTCGCATTTTTGAATAGACTTACTTTGCTAGTAAACATATCCACCTGGTATAAATACACTGAAATGCGTAGAATGGTCATCACATAAAACGATGTTAACTTACTACACAAGCATACGGCATTATTTTTAATCATTGCTCATTGTGTAGGCCAAGAAAATGGCTATTTCGCTTCCACTAGCTGGAAACTTACACCCTACAAGCGGCAACAAATTGCGTCAAACTCATTCTGACGAAAGTCTGCTATTCAGTGCGAATTCATCGTTCAATACGACGAGGTAAGCGAGCTGTAGAGGGTCAGCGCTGACAAATTCTTCTTACGTTCAATTTTCTCCAGCTAAAACTCCATCGACATATCGTTTCTTGTAATCTCATTTCATAGCGATCATAGAAAACCACATGTACTTACACTATTTCAGTAGCAATTATTTAGGCAGTAATATTGTCAAGCTTATAACTGGAATATTTTGCACTTCAGTTTCTCCCGAGCAGATTTGCGTACCAACGACACACTCCAGGCATTCAGTCAAACAACAGAACAGCCACGAGAGCAATTTGATTCCAGAAAGTATACCGTGGAAGGCATGTTGGAAAACACTTTCATCCGATCACAGTCGCAGCCAACGGCAGGGACGCAAATCGATTGTTTTAGTTCCGTCGCAACAGGCACTTCGCTTGGCTCCACTTGGAATTCTTTGTTTGAAGATGAAGAAGAGGGGGAGGTAGCGGTGGAGGAGGAGGATGTGGTGCACGAAAAAATGTCTCCAGATCGCGTGGAATCTTGTGAAGTCGACGAAAAACTAGGTAATTAGTTAGTTGAAGCCAGGACTTGACGACATTGAATTACTCATCAACCATTGGTTAATACTGGCGGTTCATTTATTGGTCTGTCTGCAGCCTGAACATTCATTGGCCAATGCAGGCGTAGCAGCCATTAAGTAATATTGAGTAGGAATTTAGCCTACCAAACAGGTTTATGGTTAGCATGGATCAGATTTATTAAATCCACACAACGCGCCATCTGGAATCGTACTTTTTTTCATTTTGAGAACGACAATTAACCTAGTGCGTTTCCATCCAATCAACTAGAGGCATCATGTTCCACCCCGCAGCCAGCCAATCAACAGCCTTCAACAACCACTGACTCGGGTTTCACGACTACTCGCGAATCACCGCACCAGACGATGCAGACGGTGATGCTGCAAGTCCTGGACGCCGCGGCAGTGGAAGAAGACACGGATTTCGGTGAAGAAGCGACGGATTTGCCCGACCAACTGGACGGACGACCGGTCAGTCGATTCTACCTCGCTGAAGTCATGCGAATATCGCTGGAGGAAGTGCTTGGCCTTGAGAATCTCATTCAGTGCTACAACATTGTCCAGGTTAGCTATCTGTGACGACTTTCGAGGTTTTGAATCCCTTCCAACGATGGAATGTGACTATTTTGATGCCCCTTTAGAACTTGCAAGAGAGTGAAGACGACGATTTGCGAATCGGACGCGAGGCAATAGCTTCACTGACGGGAAAGGCGACTGCTGGCGAGGTCTTCGATAGGGTGCTTCGGCTTGTCCTCGCAGACGGTGCCTACGTCGACGGTAACTCCACCCCTCCACCCCCGTACCACCTACAACCTGTTTTCAATCTACCTAGATTAAAACCTCATTAGTGAAAAAACTCACTCTGATTACGGCAGCTAAAATTTATCTGAAAAAGCAATGTTATGTGTATGTTCATAAGTCTACGGCGGACATACGACAGGGTCAGACCCTGATTGGCTAGATGAGATGTGGGCGAGTTTGATTGGTTGGAGGGTGGCGCTCTAATTAAGCAGACTATCCTTTTTTTAGATTACTAGAAGACGTCGTACATACCAGGGGAGCGATGCCAATCCAATTCACGTTTCCAAACAGGATCATCCACGCGTTATTTGGGATTTCGCGATCTTCTCACACCTGACTCGACTCAAAGACTAAAGTCCGCCCCTTCCCCCGCACCCAAAAGAATCAAACTTGTCTTGCCATTTCTCCTGTAAAAGCTTAGTGTGTAGATAAGCCAAATTTGAATCAAGAATTGTTGATTGATTTTTACAAGGATGCAAAAGTTGACAACTTGATGGTCTGCCTTTTGTAATCACCAAAGAAGCGTAGAGCAAGACTGTGTGTGTGCGAGGGCAGTACAAATTTATTAAATAATTGCACAACAGTAAAGTTATTGCGATTGGTTGGAAGGTCAAAAGTAGGCTTGCTGAAACCGCAACAGCACCACGGACTATTTCGTGTCTTTTGAGCCGTCAGATGTCTAAAAATAGAAAGATTTGGCATGAAAATGGTTTTCGGATCGGATTTGTCATGACGGGACACGAATTATTTGTGAGCCCTCAATTCTCATCAATTATCTCCCACTGACTCCTTACTCCACTTCCATTGGCTGTTCGCAGTAGACTCCTGATTTGATTGGCTGGTACCTCGGAAGTAGCTCAAAAAGCATAACACTCTCGCGATCTTATTTAAGCAACTTTTAAGCTCCACCAACCTCTCGACGAGCCTTTCGAAACAGGTCGAGGGCCTTCTCCTGGAGGTCCGCGTTGAGCTGCTGGATTTCCTCCAGAGCCTGTCTCGACTTCAGCTCTTCCATACACCCCAAAACCGAGTGTTGGCAGAACTCTGTCAGCGCTGTGGCTTCCTCCTCCGGCAACTGGGTGCCGAATTCAGCGATCTTCTGGCAGACGTCCTCGGCGAGAACACGCAGGGCCATGGCGGACTCGATGACGGCGCGCCGGCGTCGATCGTCAGCTGAGTGACGCGCAGCCGCCTTCAGCGAGCTCCTCACCTCCTCACGCGACAGTCCGCTCACGGGATTAACGAGGAGGCGCTGCGCCTTGCCAGTTGCCTGGTCGCGCGCCGACACACTCAGGATGCCGTCGACGTCGATGTCGAAGGTGACTTCGATGCGTGGCACGCCTCGCGGTTGCGGGGGAATGTCAACCTTGGACAGAAACATGGCCAGTTTGCAAGTTAGATTGACAGAATCAGAGTTTGAAGTGGGATAGTTGGGGAGAAATGCGCCTAATTCCGGGTGATTCGTTGTCGACTAGCACCAGTCTAGCTTGAAGAAGACGAGGAGTTTTTGGCGTCTTCAAGGGGGTGAGGTGACAAGAGTTCACCAACACGTCACCTAGGTAACCTAGGTAAGAGCAAATTACTCAAGACAGGAGACGACCCAATCCTATAGCGACCTTGAGATTCGTCCAATAGCAAGTTAGCAACGGGAAGATAAGCGCCGACATTTGAACCAGTGAGACATTCGCCAGGTCTAGTAGAAATGATCATGGCAGATTAGTGCCGCTATCACTACCCAGGAAACTCGGAAAAAGAAGCCGTGGTGATTGGAGAATGGTGTGAATTGACCTTGTGATCATCCAGCCAATCAGATGGCTGGAAGGTGACCACCGCACAACCAATAGTAAAACGCAATTCCCGAAACAACAAAGCAAAACAACCAATCGGGTAACTTGCCAGCACAAACTGTCCGAGGAGCTTGTTGTCGTGGGCCAGCTCCCGTTCGCCCTGGTAGATGTTGATTTCCACTTGCGTTTGACCGTCCACAGCCGTGGAAAAGACCTGTGTGACCTTGGCGGGGATGCTCGTGTTCCGCGGCAGCAGACGAGCCACCGCCCCACCCAGAGTCTCGATTCCCAACGACAGTGGAATCACGTCCAGGAGCAGAATGTCCTCCACCTCGCCCACCAACACACCCGCCTAACAACCGATACATTGCAAAAGGGAAAAGAGACTAATTTAAGTGCCTTTAATTATGTATAAAAAAAAATAATTATTTCGTTAAAAAGCGGGCATAAAGCGAGGAGATTAAGATCTACACACACACACACACACACACATAGGTTATGGGGACTGTGAATCGAAAGGGGTGTGAGAGAAGGTCAAATTGGTGAAATCGGGATCAGTTGAAGGCCTGAAAGGTGGAATAAGACACTTGGTGCGGACAGCAAAGCGTAAGAGTTCGATCCAGCTGGGGAGACACAACTCGCCCGGGTAGGGGGGTTTGCGGACTGAGAAACCAGGGTGATTCCGACGAACAGAGTCTGGGTCCTGACGATACGACGTGGGTTCCGGGGTCATTTCGAGCTCGGCGGCCTGCACAAAGCAACGAATCGCGACAGAGAGGTGGCTGGGAAAGTTGATGGTCGATGGGAGGAGGGCCTTTAAGAGGCCGGGGTGGCACAAGACCGTTCGGCCACCCAAACTACCCCCGCCAAGTCGACGTCGGGGATTGGGGTTGAGCAGGCCGTGGATCAAGGCGGCGAGTAGGGCCGGGATGCTGGGCAACGTGCGCGGACTATAATGCGGTGGACTTGACTGGTAGAGGAGGCGGTGGAACAGGGAGCCCAAGCTGTACCAATCAACGGCGTGCCACATACGCCCCCGCCGTCTTGTGTCGGTCCGACAAATCTCTGGTGGCATGTGACGACTCGTGGCGACTATTTTGGACCTGAAGGCGGTTCCAGGCCCGTTCGGTGGCACTGCCGAAAGCCCGAAGTCCGTCACAACGATGTGGCCGTCCCAGTTAATCAGGACGTTGTCCAACTTCAAGTCCATATGAACAACACCAGCTTCGTGGAGCCAGATCAGCGCCTCGGCAAGTTCTGTAACGTAGAAGGCCGCCTCCCGTGGTACCATCGGTCGGCAGATGGTCTTGAAAACCAAGTCATCCAGATTCCCACCAATGACGCGGTGGTGAAGGAGCAGGCCCACATCGGCCATTTGGGTGTCACGAAAAGCCGAAACAAGGCGTCTAATTCCTCGCCCGTTACCGTTGGTCCTCTGTTGGCGAGCGAGTTCCTCGCGTTTCGACTCTGACAACGACCGCACATCCACTTGCATGACCTCTGACGAAATCATTTGCATAATGAAGGGGTGACCGTATGTCGAGGACCCAGCCTCTCGGCTGTTAGGGAGTGCGGTTTCGGAGCGGTGGCGCTTCATCTGATTGTACGCCTTGACCTCGTATTCGTAGGACACGCGGTGGGTCAGACGCTTGACCACGAAGTGGGCATGTCCGGGTAAGCTTGTGGGCGAGACTAGGAAAACCTGACCGTACTTCCCCAGGCCGATGGACTCTCTGACGTCAAAGGAACTCCACGCACCCATGATGGTGAAATTGAACGTGCGAGGAACAGGCAGGTGACTGACAACGTTCCTCTCTGAGACTGACTCGGAATCAATCGATCTAGAGTGGGGTCTGTAAAATATGGTCCTCCCCCAGACGTCCGGATTCAGCTGGAAGACAATAGGGCCCGAGTACATCCCCTGAGGCACTGGGAAACCGATGGAAAAAGGCATGACCGCATGGGAAACACTGTCTGTCAATGGTGGCAAATATTGGCTGCGGAGAAGGGTGCAGGCTACGCACATGTTGTACTGGCAGCCTGAGTGAATGGGGAATGGGATACCACCGTCAATGTAGCGTATCGGATTCATCCTGACACGTACAACTCTTTGAAGGTGGTTTTTGCGAAGTGAATAGTGTGAATACTAGACTACTGATTAACTTGATCGAGTTTATGTCAACTCAGAGAAGTCAAATCACGCATCGAGATCACTTTGCTGCGGCAAGTGGCTATGTGCACCATCCGGTTAACCAGACAAGTTGGATCAGAGCAGAGGGGATGCAGGAAGAGATCGCATCCTTCGACAATGCATAAAAATCGATTTGGCAAGAAAACATTCTACACGCACGTCAACCAATCATCGATCGGTAGCCAATAATTCCACAAATCCGATTGGACAAAAGGACCCCCTATAACGCCGGAGCCCTAGTTGACACAAAATCAATGGTGATTTGGCGTCGAATTCAAACGATTGCAATTCAGCCTGCACCAGCAGACAAACAAGCAACTTTAAACGAGATCATTTGTCTACAAAAATGCACGCATGGACATATTTAGCCAAATGTTGCGTTATGCCGGGGAAAAAGGATCACAATTCACCTAAATGTGCACAAAATTACCTGAATAGCAGCACCAAGAGCCACCGCCTCATCGGGGTTAACTCCATCGGTGGGGTTTCGTCCGAAAATCTGCTTTACCGTCTCCTTAATCTACAAGAAGTGGACAGCAACTTGTGAGGCAAAATGCGATGAGGAGATAGTTAGTACAACAGTAACAGCACCCACAATTGGCATACGCGTCATACCGCCAACAAGGATGACCTCGTTCACCTCCGATTCCGCGATATTGGCATCACTTAGGGCTTGTTTGCACGGGGGAATAGTGCGCTTTACCAGCCCGCTTACGATCGCCTCGTAATCTGATCGGGAAAGATCCATTTTGAAATGCAGCGGACGGCCGGACTTGTCGGTGGATATGAAGGGCAGATTGATTGTCGTCTGCAAAAATAAATGACACCAATACCTTTACTCATAGGCTGGTAGTAGATGGTATATTGTGAACACGCTCACACTGAGGTCGACAGAGAGGGCAATTTTGGCGGCTTCCGCAGCCTCCTTGATGCGCTGCAAAGTGGACGCCTCGTTCCGGACACTGGTATCACCAATTTTGTCGATAATGTGGTCCGATAGGAGATCGTCAAAGTCGCCTCCTCCTAGTAGCGTGTCCCCATTGGTGGAACGCACCTCGAACACACCTTTCTGGATCTCCAATAGGGACACATCAAAGGTCCCACCACCGAGGTCGTAAACTGCAATACTACGAAAGAGCCAGGAGTAGACAGACGGCGACAGAAGCCGATTTGAGAGGGGGAACAAATGCGATTAACCTACATTTTGTCCTCGCTCTTGTCAATTCCGTAGGCCAGAGCAGCTGCGGTTGGCTCGTTGATTATCCGGTGAACTGTGAGACCGGCACGTTCACCGGCTTCCCGCGTAGCCTGGCGCTGACCGTCGTTGAAGTAGGCCGGCACTGTTATCACCGCGTCTTTCACCGTGGAACCGAGATGGTTTTCTAACAAGGAAACGAAAAAATTTCACCACGGACAGAAAAGAAGTCATGCCAGAAGTGGAGAAATCAGAAATTTGCTGACAAAAAAATATCATCGCAATTCCCTGCACATGCATTGCCGATTGGCGATCAGGCAATTTCAATTGGGCAAACAACTTAAATTAATTACGAAACCCATTGGACGCTACAAACGTCCTTCAATCCCTAGTATTATTGGACATACAACTAACGTAGTGAAAGAATTTGTCAACAAAATACAGATTTTGGGAGACCATTTACAGTAACATAGGCAGTTGTGGGACGGATTCAAGCAAGATCTATTAATCCCCTAGGAGTCATGCATGGTTTAAATTGAAGCTGATCTCAAAAAAGCTCAAAACAGCATGGCCGGGAGTGCGACTGTGTTTCAAAAATATAATAAATTCCGGGCTGCATACCACCTAAATTTACAAGCTTAAATGCATTTTCGGCTAGTATAACATTTTATCATGCTGATGAGTTGACAATAGGGTAAATAAACCAGGCCAGTGATAAGTAGGGATTCGCAACTCCGGCCGCCACAACAACCGAGATTAAATTGACAAGGCTACACGATGTTTGCATGAAATATGTGCAAAAATCAGCATCACTAACAATTCCGAAGCAATGAAGGACGGGCAGACTAAAAAAATTACCAGCCACCAACTTCATCTCGCGAAGAATGTAGGCAGAGATTTCGCTTGGACTGTGCTTGTTGCCACCAACACAGAGTTGAATTTCGCCGTTTTCGGCTTCCTCGATGTCAAAAGGCAATCGACGTAAGTCGAGCTGAATATCAGCGTCATGGTACCGCCTACCAATTAGCCGTTTAACCCCGAAGATTGTGTTTTTCGAATTGGCAACGGCCTGGCGTTTGGCGGGAACACCAACTAGTACCGAGGTGTTTTTGTCACCAGTAAAAGCAACCACCGATGGCGTCGTCCGGGAACCCAGGGAGTTTGGGATCACTTCAGGCCGGCCTCCTTCAAAATGTGCAACACATGAGTTTGTTGTACCCAAATCAATGCCCACAAAAGTTGAATTGTTGAGAACTGACTGGAGACAGACCTGTAAAATAACGGGGAATATTGTATGCTCTTTATAAAGACTTGAATAATAGTGCCAAAATATCTCGCAGAAGATTCAGCAATGAGTAATAATTATCAGGACAAAATACATAACATGTAACCTGCATAAAAACTATGTCTTTGGGTTAAGTGTATTTAAACGCAGGTAACGGTCTTGTTAGTCTGTAAAAAAGGATGATTTTGGTTAAACCTAAAGTTTGCCTTATCTTTAAATGTGTAAGGCACATCTAAAATGACTTACACAACCGACCGAATAAGATTTAGGGAAAAAGCGCGAAATTTTCTGCAACAACATAAGGGTAAAACCGAGAAACCTTGAGACAAACCAATCTAGTGGGCCAATCAAACTGCATATACGACATATATGTGACGGTCACAGAATTCATTGCACAAAAGAGAATTTAGGAAAATTATCTTATAAATATTCATTAAATTTATATATCCAGATTTCACTTAAATTGCAGTAACATAATTTGCATCTTAATTTAAATGTTTTCAACGTCATGAGAAGATATTGGCTCTTTAGCTATTTCACAAAACCAACAACCAGCACCATAGAGACCTCACACGGAAAAAGGCTCACAAATTGGTTTTTTGGATACAAGGCAAATGGCATTTCAACGTATGAGTTTTGTACCACTCCAACGACAACACAAATTGTCGAAATAATTCTTCCGACATTGAAACCCTACTTTGCTTGGATTAAATTTTTTTGCCAGGGCATGGCCAAAAAGGTGAGTCTATAAACTTAATATCTTTTAAGTTGAAATAAATAAAAAGATTCATGTTCATGCATATTTATAATGCTGTAGAATCCATACCCTTTTAAAATCCTAATCCACTGAAAATTCAAAAGGTTTTGCTTTTATTTACACCGCAGAGATTATTATTACTTTAGATAAATAGGAAAAATTGCATGATGGCAACTGGGCTAAAAAAGGTAAATCTTATATCCCATTAAAATTTATTATACATGCTCCCTTTTGAAACATACCGAGTATGCCATCTACCATGATACTGTACCTGCAATTGGGCAAATATGAAGCATTCACATTTCCGTTAGCTGTAATGAGTTGTTTTGTGATTACATTGTTTTTTCAGTGAACAAGAGGTTAAAAATGTCAAGCAATCTAACTAGACACGTTAATTACCCCAGGCTGTTCGTTTTGCTTGCGTGATGGGTATCATCAATAAACCCAATAAAATGCGTTTCAATTGGGTTTATTCATTTAATGCTCTTCATCGTTTCTACAATTATTTTGCTATTTTAATCTCATATTGCATTAACATGCCTATGAACTTTAATTTTTAAAGAAGCACAGGAAATCTGTGAAGCTGGAATTCAAAAACCAACTCATGATGATGATTATTATTAGGCTTAACAAATATGTGAAGATGTGTATGTGTGTTTCTTACTAAACCTACACCATTCTTTCATTTTCTTATCAAGTGTTGTGCAAATATGTCTTGAATTTTATAGAATGTATAATGTTTATTAATTTCACTAAACATGGTGCTATGAGTATAGTCAGATAATAATAGGTAATTTTAATTAAAAACCTTCTATTTCACTATTTATTAATTATCTCGTTAAGTTTTCAAATTGTGACTATTCAGTTACGATTTTAATTTTTTGTCATTTTATCACTCCAAATCCCGTCAATAACTCACAAGTACGGCTGATAAGTCTCTTGAACCAGAAGTGATATTTGTTCCTGGATGATATGATACATTTAGCTCAAAGTGTGCAAAATGAGATGTGGGATCTTAAAATATAAGCCGCAGCCTATCCCCAAATATTGAAAGAGCAAGCTTAGCAAAAACCCTGCATCCGGTGCCCAGATTTACATGTCCGATTATACTTTTTATGTCGCCAGAATTTGTTTCTGAAACCAAATAATTTTGCAGAATTTGTACGCTTGGATTCAAATGTTTTGTAATTAAAGTGTGGACTATAAAGTGACCGCAAGATCTAACACCGAAAATTTCCATTTCCCCATTTGTGCATAGTTAAATACCTGATCTCGGATTAGTTAATTAAAATCGTGTATTAAGTATCATCAAAGCAATTTAAGCAAAACATAATACATATAGTTACGGTTGCTTGATGATTTAATATTCTAAATAGACAAAACAATATTTTGTTAGGTAAATGTTTTGCAAACTTAAGCTCCTGTAATCAAGTTATAATTTGAATTTGCTGGAATTATTTAGTTGTATTTGAAAACACTCTATTCTTATAATTAATGCCACATTTCTCATTAGCCTTGAACTGCTTTCTGAACCAGATTTAGGAAAAATATATCACTGAGTAGTTATAGTAGCGCTTGGATCCTTGAATCTCTTCGCTTTCTATGGCTTTTTGTTTCGGCAGTTCATGTAAAAAAATATATGGTATACTCCAACAACCTTTTAATTCCCTTTGATGCCTGTGCTTTTCTGCTGTGGTCACATTAACTTGCATCAACCGTAAACATTTTAATTGTATTGAGGATTCAAATCGAGTTTTGACGCTTTCTTACAATACAATTCAGCGAACCAAAACTATGTGATCAGTTTAAAAGTATCACAAAAATATTGCAAAGCAGAATTTTAATTTGCAATTATGCTAAAACCAAATACATCTGTGTTTGCATTTTCAGGTTAATAAGAGTTTACTGTTCTCTTTCCCATCTCCAGCAAAATAATTTTTGCCTTGAATTTAGTCCATTGAAAAATTAAAAAAATACTGGAATCAAAAATACTTCAAAATTTGCAGCTAATAATTACTTGTAATGCATTCAGTTTCCAGTTATTCTTCCTTGTAAGTGACGTAGTGTACCATTCAGTAAATAATTTAAGCATTCAACAACTCACAAATACGTGCAAACTTGTAAGACTCAGCAAACTATAATGCTTATTCGCCCGAGAATTTGTTATTACCATACGACAGTTAGCAATATTTAGTTGCTAAATTGTGCAAATTTTAAATACTAAGTGCATTTACTAACTAAAAATGCGCATCTTATTTGAAGTAGAATTCTTTCTTGGCAACTATCACTTACGGTGATTAAACCAGTAACTGGTGTTATCATAATTATGACGGAACAAAAATCAATTTAAAACATTGTTTTAAGTTTAATTTTTAATTGTTGGTTTGTTTTGACCTTTGTTCTTGTTTTAACTACTTTTTGGTTTTGCGGTGACTCGGAATAATTGCTGCTCTCTCAGTTTGGTATGATGTACCCTCCTCGGCAGAACGTAGGCTGTCATGTTGGTTCATATTGTGTGTATTAGGTTGGTTCACAGCAAAATCAAGTTAAATTTTCTGTTCCTGATGCGTGTGAAAGGATTAAGGAGGAACTGTCCTTTCTTCAGCAGCAATGTCACAAGTAATTCATTAGTATGTTACAATTCGGCTTCAGTTTAAAGATGGAATATGAACGTTCAGTGCAGGAAAAGTCTGAACTTCAACGGCACTACATGATGTACTATGAAATCACTTATGGTCTGAATATTGAAATGCATAAACAGGTAACTTTGCCTTTCTGATTTTTTACTGCCAGACCGAAATATCAAAACGTTTGGGTGCTATTCTAGCCCAAGTTATTCCGTTCCTCTCTCAAGAAGTACGCTTTGCTGTTTTTTTTAACCTTCTGTGTAGCACCAAGCTCAAGTTGCCGCTGCTGTTGAGCGTGCGAAACAGGTAACACTGGGGGAGCTGAACAGCATAATATCGGTACGGCAAATTTGTTTTCTATTTTGTTTTAGCAACAGTTAGATGATTTTAAATACCCAAAACTATCTGGAGGCATAGGAGCACCTGTAGATCAACTGGATTTTTACAAAGTAACCATCTTGCGTTTTATTCCTCCTTTTTTGTATTCATTTTCACTTTGTGACAACAAATTTCCTTTTTCCATTAATTATTTTCTGTAATTAGATTATACGCTTGAAATGTTTTCAATGATATCGTCTCACTATTGTAAGTACCCACCCATGTAGGTTGTTGTTTTATGCAACAAAATTTCAAGACATTTACTACCGCTGCGTGTGGGATGCACTGTAAATACTTTGCAATAGTTTCTGATGTGCGATGTTTGTGTTAGTGAAAGTTTATTACTTGATTATTCTAAAGAACGAATTATGGCTTCCAACTCTTCGTAATTGTGTTATTACATCCTAAACTTTCTTAATTCCAGCAACTCCAACAGCAGCAGCTACTTTTTGCCGGAGTAAACCCAACCGGTGGGCAGTTGGGAGCATTTCCACCCGGTTTGCCGCATCCACCGTCGTCCACTGTTAACGGAGCCAATGCTCTCACGTCTTCAGCGGCTAGTGGAATAAACTCCCTCAGCGGTAACCTCCTATCGATGCAGGGCGCCCCTCCCAACCCGTTCGTACCGCCGATAACTTCAATCAGCGTGTCAAGCGCCAGCACCACGACCCCAAGTGCCGGCGCTTACCTCGGCCCACCTACTTCTGCCTCGCCCGGCTTCCCTAGCTCAAACCTTGCACAGTCGCACAGCGCTATGGCTGCAGCGATGGCGGCAATGGCTGCTGCCGCCCTTCCAACCCCTCCCACCGCTCCAGCTGCGGCCTTTGGGTTCCCCGGTGTCCATACTCCAACTTCCACTCCCGGAGGAGTTCCGCCCAACAACATTCTGCCCACCATGATGTCTCCTGCCGCCCTCTCAGCTCTCATGGCCGATAAATCCATGGACGAGAAGCAGGTCTGTGTCAACCCTTAGGCCCCATTAATCTTTTTGGATAATTGCATAGGAAAGTTATGTTCATTCTGCCCATCACCTATCCACCGTCACCCCCACCTCCCGTCTCCTCCCTCACAATCTGTGCGTGTGTGTTTGACAAGCTCCCCTCTCGTCCAGCAGTTTTATCCAAACAAACCATCATAGGAGGAGGTGGAGGAGCAAGAGATGAGAGAGAGCTTTCCCTCTCCTTCCCTCGTGCTACTCTGCCCTCTCCTCCCATGCAGTCCCTATAATGCAGTCGACATATGCAGGAAGTACCGGGGTGGGGAGATGCGGGTTGTGGATGGGAGGAGGGGGGGAGAGGGGCGCACGAGGCGTGTGTACCGAAGCTAGGTCATTCCCTCCGCTCCCGTCTAAAGTGACAGAGAGTCAATATAGCCGCCGGCGCATATGCCTACACCAACCCCACCCCAACAGTTTGTCTGGCGCTTCCTGGTGAGGGTTGGAAGGGAGCCTGGTCGTCAACACACGCACACCCACCCCTTCCCCCCCTCCCCCTGCGTGGTCGTAGCGGGGTGTCCACCCGTCGTTTAGGGTGGCCATGGCGCGGAGGGAGGGGCTGGCGGGTGGGCGCACGCACGCACCCTCCGACGTGTGCACGCGCTTTGCTTGATGTCTGGCGCGTGTGTGTGTGTGCGCGCACGCCCGTGCGTGAATGTGTGCGTGCTTACCCAGGCACACGCTACCTTTAGGAGCCTCGTATTTTGGTTGCGCGAACTGCTGGATAGCGTTACCTATTTAAACCTCTGAATTTTTGGACGGCGCGTTGTGCCAACAGCGCGGAATCACCACCCGCCCTCATCACCACCACCCCCCCCCAACCTGGCCTCTACCCACCCCGGCTTCATCCTGTGTACACCCCTCTAACGCTCTCTCTCTCTCTACAACCACCCGCCCTCCAGCCGAGGCTGGTCATCTAATTTTTTATGTTCGCTTCTCTGTCATCGATGGCCATGCGCGCGGCTAGCTTGGAATTCGTTTTTTTTCTCCTGCTCGTGTGCGACCGTGTCTCCGTTTGTGTGTGTGTGTGTTCGTGTGACTAAACATACATAATCGTGTGTTACTCGCCTCGTAGATGTGATATTCCCTATTGTTCAGTGTCAATGGCGCTCATCTCTAAATCAACCGCTCTCAATTCCCGCTTAGCCCCCGAAAAAAGGCATTCTCACCTTCCAGCGTTTCCACCAGGAGGTCGTAAACGGCCAGCTAATATTCAATAGTTCCGTTTCTGACTAGCGCGATTCTAGCTGTTTAAAAACCTCACAGTGATGCGAAGGTAGAGAGAATTGGTGAACGTTCATGCCTCCCTGACTAGCAAATTAGGTTTCAGTCGCGTACCCGTCAAATTCTATCAATTACTCAGCATGCCGTGGTTGTTGTCGGTTGTTGAGACGTGGAATTTCACGAAATGTGTGTGGGGGCGTGTGCGCCTTTGCAACCTAACCATCCACGATTTTCGTTCTTATCCAGCGCACCGCCGCTGCAGCAGCAGTCGCAGCAGCCATGACAGCGGCGGCAGCCCAACAGCAATCCGGCGCCCTGGGCGCGGTCGATCCGACTGCCATCATGGCCACCATCGCGAGCATGGCGCAGTCGACCGGAGGCGGCGCCGGGTTCGACCTCTCGCAAACCGCGTGTGCAGCAGCTGCCGCGGCCGCCGCCGCCGGTGTTCTGCCCCCTCCACCCCCTCCTCCGACTCTCCCCGGGGCCCAGGATGCGCCCCCACTGCCGAATTCGACGCCAACCGAGCCCCCACCGAGGGCCCAGTCACCGCTCATCAACGCCACCAGCCCTGCTCAGCCCGTCCGGGCGTCATCCACCCTCGGCATCATCGACTCCAAGCGTCGACGCGTTGATGGTGTAAGTTGGCCCATAAACCCATGTGCTCTAAATCGCCTGCGTGCTGGTAAAAATAAAAAGCCAAAACTGGGGTCCCATTCACGCGTCAAACTGGTCAGCCCGGCCGTTGTGGACGCAGTTCCAGCGGACGTCATTGCGCAACCTAGCACGCACACAACACAACACTCGACCTTCATTGCTCCGATAATGAAGGTGATTATTCGGTCTGCGGGTTGTGCATCTTAACTGGTAAACTTTAATGTGCGTGCATTCACACTTGCAGACACACGCACACACACCCACGTATTCGGTGGTAGAGAGAGTGTAGTGGACAAGGACGCAGAACGGCAGCGCTGTGCGCGGAGACCTCCTCCTCCTCCGCCAACACTGTTATCTTCTTCTCTTCCTGCAGACATAAATACACATGTACTATTTATTCGCGTGTGTGTATGCATTCGTACTGCCGTACCCAGATGCACACACACACACACACACAAGATAGATTACCACCTACACCATTTCGCCCACACGAGAGGTGTGGTTTTCTTACTGGTGCCTTGTGTGAGTTTCATCACAATCTAGCCGCCTCGCAGTCTATTGTCGCACAATAAGCCTTCACTCCAATTGTACACCCAAGTCATTGAATGACTCTACGCGTGTGCAGCACTGCAAGTCGATTGCCCTCTCACTTTGTAAACGTCTCTCTTAGCGCCACGAAGAGTCCAAGAGTGATTCTGAAGTCGTAACTAGCCACAGCAACGTCAACCAGGACGCGGTGAGAGTAAGCTGCATTTTCCACTTAAAACCCCTCCATTTGCACAAATCGACTTGTCCCCCACCGTTCTCATCCCGCACCCTCGTCACATCTCACCTTCCATTGTGTGGTTGTGCGTGCGCACACTCATCGATGACCATTCGCCCCCTCTAGTGTTGGTTAGGCCAGCGGGTCTGCCCTCTCGATCCGGTGACGTTGATGTTGTTGTTTTGGCAGCATTGTTAGCATTTTCCGCCACTCGCACTTCGAAATTTTTAGCGCTCTCTCGCACACACACACACACAATTGGAGTGTGTGTGTGTGTGTGGCATTATTTTAGACAATAAACTCCCAGCGTTTGCGCACTAACTTGTTTTGCGGCGTTTTCACCTCGAAAACGCACCTTTGCGAAGTCACTCACTTCTCTTGCGCCTATTGGTTCAACGCAGTGGTCGATTTCTGCAGCAGAGTCTAATTTTAGAGTGTGCTGATTCGTCTAATTGCTACTCTTGGAGGCGCGTGTGTACGTGTTTGTGGTGTCGTTCGAGCTGTCTGACCCTACCTCCCTCATTACCTCGCACGTGTTCGTGTGTGTGTGTGCGTGTGTGTCGCTGGTTCACTCCTTTTTGACTTCTCTGCACCCTTAAACTAAACGGAATGTCGGTTTGACGGGTGTCGAAGTGCGTTTCCTTTGCGTGCGATGGTTGCTGTGGTGGTGGTGAGCATCCACCCTTTGCGAGTTTTTTCCCATGCGCGACCAAAGTTCGAAAACCCACCCACCCACACACACACACACAGAAAAACCCAAACTTGCACACACACACACACACACCTCTAGGCGTCGTTTTGCATGTTGCTCTGCCGCCGCCACCTTGCAACTTCGTCTGATTTGTGTTTCTTTGTGCCTATCGTCTAGGACGTCGTAGTGAATGGAGCGTCAACGACGAACCACAGCCCTCGTGAAAACGGCAGCGACTCGAAGTTTGAGCCATCCACCACGACCCCGTACGAGGTGAGTTGGGTTTGCACTGCTTAAAATTCAGCGTTTCTTGGGGGATTTCGTTACGTCCTTAATCCCACCCAAACTAGTGGTTTTAGGGGGTAGTTCGCTGGGTTTTTAGTGGTCAATTCTTCACTAGTCATACCACAATCTCTTCTCTCTGAATCCGAAATTATCAATGGCGTATGACGTGCATTGTTGGGATTGGTGTGTTGCCTTTTGATCAGACAAATCACTAGGCCGATGTCGCTGTTGGTGCCAAGGGATGCACTGCGTAGCGGAAGGAGCGATCTCTGTCTGGTAGTGAGGGGTCAACTGGGGGTGAAGGAGGGGGCGGTGTCTGCAAATTCACCCTCGGCTAATCACGTCCATGCCTGCTGGTGGGATGGGGTGGTATTGATGGCGGTAATTTATGTGGACGGGGTGTGTGTGTGTGTGTTTATGTGTGTCTGACGCACGCCACATGTACTAACTAGCACTCGCCATAACACGTACCGCCTCATTAGCATTCGTGTGCACACACACACACACACCCCTACAGTTGCACACGGAATCCCATGGGAATTACCCCGCGCGTGTGCGTGCGCGCGCTTAACATCCTGTGAGAAATCGGTTGGTGTGTGTGGGTTGGTAGGTGGATCGAAGACGGAGTCAGTTTTGTTTCCTGTCTAACCAATGGTGAACCGATTTTGCCTGGCAGCGAACAAAGACCTCAACGCCGTGTAACAGCGGAGGCAATCGATCTCCCGTGTCACCTACGAGCGTCGCCCCAACCCTCACAACTCCCTCCGGAGGCAACGCCGCTTCTCCCAAAGCCACCGCCGCTGGTGCTAAACTCACGCCTTCAACAACTCCTGCCGGTGAGTTAAGATGTTCTCTGCTTTCATTAGAGCGAGGTGGGGATTGATCTTGCCTGGCTGTAGCCACGTCTTTCTTCCACTCTTGTGTGTGTGTGTGTGTGTGACATGGCGTGGCAATTTACCAAGACGGCAATAGCGACTCCTCATTTGGTCGAACGAGTGAGGCATGACTCGCTACATCCCCTCCCTCTGCGCATCTCGTGTCTGACTCACGCATGGGAAATGGGGCTGGGGGTTGCGTCGTGCCTCCACCCACCCCTTCTCGCCTCGCGCTCTCTGCACGTGCCCAAGAGCGTGCACATCCGGACGCACACGTTTGCGCCTCTGCCACCACCACCTCCTCCTCCTCGTCTGTTTCTCCCTTTTTTTCACTTCCCCAACTGGTTATTTCTGCATAAATTCTCGTCTACCTCACAAGAGTTAACATCCTCTCCCATCATGCTCTTCACTCCCCTCTGCGTCAAATTTCCCATATCGATTTTCTTCAGCTACCCCCTTGTCACTTGATTTCACGATCTCGTGCTGCTCCTGCGTTTACTACTGAAAAAAGGCGAGTTACGCGTCGCCGCTTTGTGCAATAAATAGTGCACTTAACTGGGCCTAGAATGGTGATTCAACGCACTGCAAACGCTTCCCCGGGGTGGGAGGATTTGGTTGTCAACACAACGCGTCTCCTAATGGATGACCTGTCTCCGCGGTGAGTTGAATGCCAGGACTGGCACCGACGAAATTTGTCATCTAACGACACACGCATTCACTGGTCTGGGAATGTCCGATTACTCACTGATTAGTTCTCCCTTCGTCAAACTAGTTAATTTCATGGAGCATATCTGATCGATTGGAGGCGAATTCGGGCCTTTTTGGTGAGATGGCGTGACTGTAGACACCGGCACTGACGTTACCAGTTGATGTCTTATCTACTGAATCACAGAAAATACTAATTTTTTCACCTCCAACGACACGCGACTTCGCAGTTATCGCGAAAATTTCGGTTGGCCGAACCGTGCTATAACCGATTATCCACGTTTTCTTGTCTCTCGTCAAATTCACTCTTTATTATGGTCGGATTTGAACGTCGTGGTGAGGTTTCGAGACCACTATTCCCCTCTATCGGAGTTAAACCCGAACTACAAGTCGAAGATATCACCCTAGGAGGCGAGATTCCCATTAAACGGGGGCGTTTTCAGACGAAATTGGCGTTTTGGTGAGATGTCGTGACTGTAGACACCGACACTGACGTTACCAGTTGATGTCTTATCTACTAAATCACAGAAAATGCTAATACTCACCTCCAACGACACGCGACTTCGCATTTATCGCGAAAATTTCGGTTTGCCGAACCCTGCCAAAACCGATTATCTTAATTAGGGTCGTGGAGAGGTGTCAAGACCACTATTCCCCTCTAACGCAGCTAAACCCGACCTAAAAGTCGAAGATATCACCCTAGGAGGCGAGATTCCCATTAAACGGGAGCGTTTTCAGGCAAAAAGGTGTCTGAACATGGACACACCGCGCGCGTGTGTGTGTGTGCACGCTGTAGTAGAATTACACAAAATGTGCTTGCCTGCATCACACGGTTGGTTACCCGCCCGGTATTTCCATGTTGGGTGGGGGGGAGGGTGAGGATTCACTCAACGAGAGTGACCCCCAGAGGGTGTGATGCGGGTATGTGTGTGTGTGTGTGTTTGTGTGGACTGTCCAACGAATCCCACCACGCTCCCTGCCAATACGTGTGCACATGCTTTGAAATGTGTGGAAAGGGTAGGTCCGGGTTTTTTCACAGTCGCGTGTGTGTGTGTGTGCATGGAAACACATGCATTCACTAGACCCCGTAATACGTCTCCGTCTCCCTCGCAAATGGTTATCAACACACTTTCCGACGTGGAACGAGTTTGGTGTTTCCGTGTGTGTGTGTGTGTGTGTCTTCGCCATTGGCAACCGTGTAAAGCTCTCTCAACCAAACAAGTGAGGCTCCATCACCACAACCACCACCACCGCCGCTGTCACATCAACCCGGCGTGTGTGTGAACGCGCGTGTGATTGCAATAAAATCGACAGTTTTTCTCGTTTCCTCTCTCCGTGGTTGTGCCCCAATGTAACCGCTCACACGCATACGACCCAGTTCTAATGACAGTTATGCGTGCGTGTGTGTGTGTGTGCAACCTTCCTGCGCGCGCGCGTTCCGTGCGTGTGTGCCACCCGACCATCCATTCATGCAAGCCCCCTTCCTCCCCCTCACCCCCTCCCAACACAGCTGGATTCTGACACAGCGCAGGGGTGGATGGATGGGTGGGTGGGTGGCGGATTAACGGCGGCGGTGGTGGTGGTGAGTGTGGCGCAATAAAGCGCGAGAGAGGCTGGGTGGGAGCTGGGACGGGGTTGGGGGAACGCCCCACAGAGAGGGGTGATGCATGCTACGCGACTGTTTTCCCCACTGCTGCTGCTGTGTGCTACTAGGGCCGTTTTAACTGCCTACTGCTGCTGCCGCCGCCGCCGTTGCTGCTGGTGGTGTCCGAATAGACGAACAGTAGAACAAATGTTACATGCAGAAATGGACGCGATATTGCGGCAAGTCATGTGGGCTGGCCACTCGCCTTCTCGTTTTTCAACGCACCTCAATCCGACAGCGACCAAAATCCATCCACTGTAGCTGGTTTCAAAATACAGCTAACTTGGCCCCCTCACTCCGCGGTCTTGTCTGCGCGTGTCGAAGTCGTCGTGTAGCGTCCCAGGTGTGTTGAACCACGTCGGGACCGTGACTTGGCCTGCAGCATCGAGGGCTGAGCTGTTGCCATTAGTGAAGGCGCGCCAAATTTGGTTGTGCTTTGCTCGAGAAAGCACCCGGCCCTCCCCTCCCCCCGCCACCCACCCATCTGTGGGCGCGTTGGAGTCCACACTAATTCACTTCCCCCCTACTCCCCTCGGTGGGGCGTGTGTGTTGATTCGAGGCGAGATTTGGTGACTGATTAGATCTCTACCCCACCCCGATTTCGCGACATCACGTTTCAGTGAGATAAAATGGTGGTGGTAGGGAGGGGTGGGGGGGTGTGTGTGGAGAAGGCTTAACCACCCTCGCTTCTCAATCATGCTCTTGGGCTTTTTTTCCGAGGTCTAACCACCACGGACACGCTTTTTTGGCGTTTTCTCGCAGTAAATTGCATTTGTTTGTTGATAGGCTCTCTCGGTCGCGCGCCAATTATCGATCGTGTCTATTTTCAAATTCAATTCAGCGCGCTTAGATTGGGGTAATTCCTCTTAGCTCCCCCCAGTGTTACGCCTGCGTAAATGTTGACAAGACCTGTAGTTAATGTTTGGGCCCTAAGTCCATTCTTTGCACACCCAAACGCCTTACACTACTCGAGGTTTGTAAGTAGCGTTCAATAGGGAATTTTTTAAATAAATTTCGTACACAACGCGTTCGTGGCAAACTGTGGGGTTTCGTGTATGTTGATACTTACAGTGGTCACGTGACCTACACAAAAATCACCCATTCATTGAAAACCTTCTCCTTTCTGCATCGCAAGTTGATGAAGTGGGTTTTCTCGCTCGCGTCTTTACCGAACCGATGATTCCATTTGTGTCAATCGGTACTAATTTGTTGTGCTTGCTGCTCATTGGTTGGTGGTTGCCTCGACTTGAAACGCACGATCACGCGTTCGTTTTTGGTCTAAATAAACTCTGCTACCGTGTGTGTTTACCTTGCTACCAGAAATGCTCGATCATTCATTTAAAAATCACCCTTAAATTCCCGCTTATCGTCACGTTATTCGCATTGTCGACGTTAACTATGCTGAGATGCGTGATATTGGAGTCTGGCTGAGCGATTTCACAGTGGTTATATGCTAAAAACACCTGCCCTCCCACATTCCAGGTGAACCAATCACTCCTCTGACAGCGGTGACCGCGATTCCACCGTTCCTGGCATCACCAAGCCTCGCCTCCGCGGTTGCTCCGTTCCCTGGGGGTCCACCGCCGCCCCCCGGCCTTCCCGCTCTTCTGACTCAACCACCGTCGCATCCAGGCCTGCTCTCACGCTTCCCCGGGCCCCTACCCCCTAACCCGGGCTTCCCCAGACCTCCCGGCTACCCTCCTAGCTCTGCCGGTCCTATCCCCTCGGTACGTCATCCACGCCCTTTCGCACTCCCCCTCCTACTCTCCTCTAACCGTTATCGTCTGCACCATTTTGCGAGTCGTTGTGTCGGACACACACGAGGCTTCGTCAGACACCAACTAAACCGAGTCAATAATTCGATTGAAAGCAACCACTAGGGGATTTTCGTTCCCCCGATAATTAGCCTTGGCCCCAAAGCAATCAACATTAACCACACCCGAATAAGCGCTAATTACATGCCGCCTTTTCGGCCTCGTGTGTGTGTGTGTCTGCGTGTTAATGTCACCCAGATGCGCGATTTTATCACCACGGCGAACAATTTTCACCAAATCAAATCATTCCGATTAGCCTAGTAAAATCGATAGCAGCTGGTCTCACCATCCAATCATTGGCTGTCTTTTAATCTCTCCACATCGCTCATTGGGTGATGTTGTGTGGACCAACGGGATGATTGATTTTTACTGATTGGACGGTGGAGTCACTTGCTACTTTACACAGGCGACACCTCTTCCAGAGGCAGTATCGCACACTCACTGAGTCCTGATTGGAAAGGGCCCAACATCACTCGGAATTTCACGATTTTTCGTTCTTAGCATCGCTGAAGGACTAGCATTGCTTGTTATAGTTTCAAATTTCGAAATTTTCCAATGAAAGTGGAAATGACCGTTTACTCGATACCGCTTAGAGAGTGGAAATGCTTCCCCGAATCAGATTTGTGAGCAATTTTTTCATCATTTTAGATTCCATTTGATGGCAATTTCCGAACATCGGCTCTATCTGGGGGACGACCGTAAGTGACTAAAGCATTTTGCATTTCAACATGGTTCTATTTCATTTCGATTTTTCTACCTACAACCTGACCTTGAGAGCCATGGTTTCTATTGGTTTAGCAGACCTCCATTTCTCGAAAAATCGATGCAAATTTAAGCTAGGGGTGCAGCAGTGCCATGGGGACCTACCTTCCCAAGCACGATGGCTCCGAGTGCCTGATTAGTTTTTCCACAGAAAGTGACCTTGAGATGTACGATTCCCATTGGTGCGATTTTCGATTGACAAAACTCGCACAAATTTACTTGGAGAAGCTGGCATTGAAGGGAATCTGTTGATGCGATCATCGTCTAGACGCTCATTTTATTGTTGAGGTGCATCTGTGTAACCTCTATTGGTGGTTACGCATGCGTGTGTGCACTGGGTCCTGCAATGGCTTGCATACATTATCCACGTTTGTATCTGTGTACGCGTGGTGTGGCCTGGTTACGCGGTACCCAATGCCACGTCGTCATTGGCCCGGTCGGTTCTAACCAACACCTTCAGGAGCCTGCTATCTGGCAGAGGAGGTGGTTAGTATGAACTACCTCGGTCAAACTTCGTATGTCCCAATCACCAAGCCTCAGTAGTGGAATCCACGTGGTCACCGATTTGCCCATATTCGCTCTTTTCTCGTGCACGGAAGTACAATCGTTGGCCCGTTTCTTCGTGCCGGGGCAAGGGAGGGTGGAGGAACAGGTTGAACCGGAGGTGGGGGCCGGGCGGGATGTCGGCATCGCGAGTGTGTTGGTGGGGGGTGGGAATAAATTGACTTGGGTTGTTAAAGGAGGAGGAAAAGAAGAAGTGAAAGCGGTGGAAGAAGCATTGAAGAAGAAGAAGAAGCTGAACCGACAGCGGATGGGATATACTCCGCCAGGGCTTGCCTTTGTTCTCCTTTTTCACACGCACATGTTTGCGCGCTCACGGTGAGGGGGGTGGGTTAGGTGAATGGCCCTGCTCCCTCCGCCGCCGCCACCGCATTCTCCCGTGCGCCTTGCTTCTCTGCCGTATTTCCGCTCGCCATTTACGGAACCGTTTGAGTGGAGGCACGATAAAGCGAGCGAGCGAGAGAGAGCGAAGGCAGCCAGATGGTTCTTGTATGTGTGTGTGCGAGGCGGTCGCAAACCTCACCCAACCACCATTTTCGTTAAACACACCGACCCAACGCCAACGCCCATCCACAAATAATTGATTATCAATGCCGCTTGTGTGGTAACGTCGTCTGTCAAGTGTGGACGAGGGTTCTTCCTCCACGGCCGTCGTTGGGAGTCGGTTATTAGCGATTGGATTTGTCCTACGAAACCGGGACCCTAGTAGTTCAAATTTATCGACCCCACGGACAATACGCCTTCTAGTTGCAATTTGTGAGCTGTACTTGTTTTCGACTTGGCGACTTGGCATTACCAGGCTGCTCAACTGCATATTCTGCCAACTTGTGCTTTTGCGTACAAAAAAAGAGTTTCTCGTGTCTTGAATTTTCTCCTCCGAGTGCTAACCAGTTCCTTATAGCCAAGATGATTTGACAAATGAATAAGTAAACAGTCTCGTATTTGGGGAACGGGAGATAGCCTCCCTGCGTGTAAATTATTAACGCGTGAGTCAAACGGGCACATGAGCAAGTGGGCTAGCTTAGACTCTTCTCTCATTGGCCAGCCGTCGGAGCCAATCAATGCTCTAAATCTGTGTGCGCCATGATGGAACAATAGTGACTACCACAATTTTCCAGTTGTAAACTTGTGTCATGATGAATTCTTTGTGATAGCGCCCTCGCTAGGTCATCGCTAAAACTCGCGAATCTTATGAACACTGGTATAAATGATTGTGAGTGTTTCAAAAGCACAACTGTTTCCAAGGTATGAGGCGACGTCTTGTTACGTGATTGGTGCGTTCTCATTGGTTCTCGAGGGTGTTTCGGAGTGCAGACTTGCCAGAAGCGCCTCCGACATCCGTGGTGTTATTAAGGCTGCTGTAGAAAGAGGGAACTGGAGATTATGCCAGTCTGGCGGGCGCGGGCGCGCGTGTCGTTGTAAACACGAGGGAGAAGGAGGAGGCGGCGGCGGCGAAATCACGTACGTTCCACCACCACCGCCGCCGCTACCACCTACACAACCGGACGCTTAAGAATCGCGGGCAGGGGTACGCGTGTCATCACCCTCTCTACTCACCCCTCCCTCCCTCTCTCCCGCCCTCGTTCCCACCACTCCCCACCCCTAAGGGAATAAAACCAGCTGGCGGCGGCGGCAGCATCAGCAGCTGCGCACACCGGTGATAGACAAGAGATTACATCACGCGCGCGTGCGTGCATGCGTGCGTCCGTCCGCCTCTGCGCGGTGTAGCGTTTTTTCTTACCACACAGCGGCACCAGCGGTTCCCCGCCCCACCCACCAACCCTGCCTGCTTCTCTGATGGAAGGCGGGGCGGGGTGGGAGTGAGGGAGGAGCAGATGGATGAGGATGAAAAACAGAGGTGGGTGTGGGAGTGTGTGCGTGTGTGCACACACACACACACACTCTCACGCCCCTTTCGTTGCGTGGGGAAGCAATTAAAACATGCTTTCTCTCTCGCTATCAGTAGCTCCGCCGCCTGGCAAATCGTCTTTTTCTTCTCTTCCTCTCTCTCTAACTCTAACTCTGGAAGTGTACGTGAAAGATATGGGCGTGTAGGAGGCGGAACGTGCCGCCTTAGCGGACTTAGCATTGTCCGGGTTGTGCTACAGCTGTCCAAGGCCTGCCTCATTTTTTTGGTTTTAGACCCTACTCATTCCTCTGTCTGGAGGGCCAGCCGCCAACGCCGTTTCCGCTGACGCCGGAGGCCTTCAGCGGGCCCGGAGTTCCGCACTCGGCGAGACCCATCCAAACCCTCGAGCACGGCGAGGTGGTCTGCGCGGTGATGATCAACAGCGCCGCGCGACACATCTACACCGGCGGCAAGGGCTGCGTGAAGCTGTGGGACATGAACGCGGCGACGGCCGACGGCGCTCCAGCCACCACCAAGTCCTGTCTGGCCAGCTTGGATTGTCTCCAGGGCGACAACTACATTCGGTCCATCAAGATGGGCCAGGTAAGTCGAGTAGAACTTCCACCACGAGCTCAAGGAATTGTCGAAGGGGTCTAGTTCCATTGCATCGCATTGTAGGAAGGCAACCTCTTGGTTGTTGGAGGTGAGGCGAGCGTGATTAGTATATGGGACCTGGGCGGGCCGACGCCTCGTCCGAAGGGCGAACTGACCTCGGCCGCGCAGGCCTGCTACGCAGTCGCGGTATCGCACGACGGCAAGCTGTGCTTCTCCTGCCAGTCGGACGGCAACATCTCCGTGTGGGATCTGCACAACCAGACGCACGTGCGGCAGTTCCAGGGCCACACGGACGGCGCGTCGTGTGTCGACATCACGGCGGACGGCGGCCACCTGTGGACAGGCGGTCTGGACAAGACGGTGCGGTGCTGGGACCTGCGCGAGACGCACCAGCAGACCGCGCAGTACAACTTCAACTCGCAGATCTTCTCCCTCGGCAAGTGCCCCACGGACGACTGGGTCGCTGTCGGCATGGAGTCCGACGACATCGAGGTGTTCGCGCCGGGCCGGCCCGATCGATATCGTCTGCGCCTCCACGAGAGCTGCGTGCTCTCCCTCAAGTTCGCGCACTCCGGCGCGTGGTTCGCCACCACCGGCAAGGACTACTGGCTCAACGCCTGGCGACCGCCTTGGGGAGCGAGTCTCTTCCAGGTGAAGGAGAACCTCTCCGTGCTGAGCTGCGACCTCTCCGCCGATGACAGGCATTTAGTCACGGGAAGCGGCGACAAGAAGGCCACGCTCTATGAAATTTCCTACTAACTCGAACCCTCCCCGTCCTTGTACAAAACCCTCCCACCCCCTCCCCTCCCTCCACCCAACTCTACCTCTTGCTACTTGTGAACCAATACGCGTACCTACATGCCCACACCCGCCGACACCGTGAATTCGCACGCACCATCAACAGTACAGTCTTCATCACGCATCAACGATTATCGTGTTTTTGAGTGAATAAACTTCGTAAGGTTGTTTGTTCTCCTCCCGCATCATCACTCGCCAGATCAAAACCTTAGGGGGGGGGTTGGTATTAAGAAACCGGTTTATGGCACGGAGCAGTGCTCCTCTCAATGCGTCTAAAGGACGTCTGCTAGTAGTCGAAAGTGTCTCCGAGCCGTGATGAGTCATTTCCCGTGCTCCTTCCCGCTCCGAAACGTTTTAGCCAATCAGGTCGTTGGAAACTCGATTCCCTCCATTCAAACAAGACCATGGCAGCCAATAGACGCAAAATGCGAAAATATCCAATCGTTAAGGGCTTGAGTTAACCTCTCTGCAAGCCAAGGTGGATGACCTTCCGAGAATCGATGGGAAATCCACTTGCCACAGGCCGGCGTTGCGGATTGTAGACAACAGGCTAGTATTTTCGTACAAATTGTATTGCATATCTCTCATAAAAGACAGAACACGTGGAAATGGGTAGAGGAGGGGGGGGCGTGTGGGATTTTCTACTTCCTCGTCCGATTCCGACCTTTTCGACCCGACCCGGTGTCCGAGAGGTCGCCACCCCTGTTGCTCGCTGCGTAGCCATGACCCGACGTCAACGACGACTTTCCACCCATGTGCTTTTTCGATGTCCCGATCAGCGGATGCACCTGAATCAAGGCAACAAATAAACAAACTACTGAATCGAAAACAGTAAGGTGGTGTTTTTAGCCTGACTCGAACACACCTCGTCTGTGGGGGCGTCGGGCAAGTCGACGTTGAAGGTGCGCTGTGCCTGGCTTGGCACGGCTCCGGCCTTCTCGGAGAGCTTGGCGCGCTTCGAAGTGGTGGGCGACGAATCGGAGTGCTTCCGGACATCGGCAGACGCAGCCTCGTCGCATCCAGAGAACTCGTCTGGGTTGTCCACGTCGGGCGAGATGGAGAGGAACATCAGGATGTCCTCGGGCTCGCGTTCTTCATCGCTAAAAAATCGATACGGAGTTGATTGACGCACTTTACAACACCTCCCCACCTCCTCCATCCAAAACTCGTCAATTTTCACACACAACCTCTCCCAGCGAAACAATTTTTTACTCAGATGAGGTCGACGCAGCGCTGATGAAAGCAACGTACGCAGCCGATGTGTCAATGTTACCTCGGTAACCAAGCTACGTCATAGACTCAACTGGAATCCCAAAGAGTCAATTCTTGTCGACACACTAGGCGAAATCATCACCTACTGCCATGGCTACGATGTTGACAAAGAGGCGAAGCCTTCAACGAAGTCAACCCTGTTCCAACACACCACGAATACCTCGCTGGGGAAATGGTTTTGCAATGTCATTTGTCAGGGATAATCACAAGCTACGACGCTTTTCCATTGGCTCAGATCAGATGAGACAAGGTCACTGGTCTGAACCAATGAGAACACTAGTGACATCACCTGTCCTAAATGGCGACCAATCATTTTCAGTATGACCTCGGAACAGACGCGCTGAAACCACGTCTCATAGAATTCCCGACAAAATCGATAAATCAGGTGAAGCCGAAGTTGGTACCACCGTCGGGTCATATCACGTGCAGACGGTAAACCCAACCGGAAATTTGAAGCTCCAGGTCTTAAATCACGTCCATCTCGGGGTAGCTCCGTGTGTCTTTTCGCAACGAATGGGAAAACACGACCTTGAGCGGGCACAGCAGTTGCGTCCAATCCTGTTAACCTTCAAGGGCATTTGTGGACGCGACTGGCAACATCGGTAGCTTCTACAATGCATCTTAACCAAGTCGTTGAAAGACACCAAACGCGTACCACACGTTCATCCACCTTCATACCTGCTAAGCATGGCAGCGACCGGCTCGACTGTCTCCACGTCCACGATGACATCCTGTTCAACGTCATCTGGCAAAGATAAAGCAAATCGATCGAGTTAATCCATTAGTTGCCCCACACCAATCAGTGATCTCTAATCAGTCGATCGAGTTGGTTCATTGGTTACCCCGCACTAATCAATGATCTCTAATCAGTTGATAGAGTTAGTTCATTGATTACTCCACACCAACCAGTGATCTCTAATCAGTTGATCGAGTTGGTTCATTGGTTACTCCACACCAATCAATAATCTCTACTTAGTTGTCGAATACAGCTGGCCTTAGAATTTTGGACTCTACGAAACCCTAGACAACTTATCGTACTTTATTTCCCAAGACAAGCCATTAACTCGCGGAACAAAAAAGAACGATACTGCTCACCAGTAGGTGGTAGTAGTAGTAGTAGCGCGTTGGTTCGAGAAGCTTAGATGCAACCCAACCCACTTTCTTAGCAAAACAACCTCACCCGGTTTCTCGTCCTCGACTTTGTCCTCGTCCTCCAAGTCGAACTCGGACTCGCGTTCCTCGTACTCCACGTTCTCGTCCAGCTCCTTGAAGTCCGGCGCAAATGCCGACCAGTTTTGCTGGAACAGACGACAATTGCATCGCATCGCAAAAGACACACAAGTACACATATAAACACACGTCCATACACACACTACCACGACTTCGAACATTCATACTCAGTCACACACACACACACACACACACACCACACACACACACCACACACACACACACACATGCACACAGGGTACCCGCGTACCACTTGGGTCTGCGCCCAGATCGAGACCTGTTCCTTGGTGACAGAGTTGGAGACGGAGACGACGACCGGACGCAGGGGGTGCCAGACGACGTCTAACAGCGTCTCGCCCTTCTGACCGTGGAGGATCTTGAAGAGGGTGCCGCTGGCGCGCTCCCAGATGTAAATCGAGTGCTGCTTGGTGGAGCCAGCGCACACGAATTCGCCGTCGCCGGAGAAACAGCACTTGCGCCAGTGACTCCTGCAGGAGACAGTGCAAGCCCAATTCACCCACGACCACAGAGCTACTTTGTGGTCTTGTTAGCTGATGCCACTAGGCCAGACCCAATTAGCGTCGCTTCCTTCAGCCTACATTAACGCCCCTTTCAACGCGTTAATTAAGCTTTAGTGTCTGCGCGCAGACATAACAACGACAACGATGTTAGGGTAACAGTGACTAATGAAGGGTAGGGGGAAGTGCTTAACACATGCACCAATCAGCTTGCACCAAGCCCGTTCACGCTGACAGTCACGAGTTCGAGTAAGGAAGTTTGAAAACAACAAATAATTTAGGCAATAAGTCGGAACTCGGTCGAGTGAGGAGGTAAGCTTACCCCGTGACGAGGTCACGCAGTTTCTGAAGCGGCTCGGGTTCGGAGGAGTGCAGAGCGTCTGAGCAGTTGTAGACACGAATGAAACGGTCGGCGCAGTTAAGAAGAAAGAAGCTGAACAAAAAAGAGATGAAGGCGGTGAAAAGCCCAGCGCCTCGTACAAGACGGTCCCCACAGCGGTGCACCCCGACTTACTCGCCACGTCGCGAAAACTCGATCGACTTAATGGCTGCGTTCGTGGCCGTGGCGGTGGACTTGAACTGGTTCACGACCCTCGAGGCCTTGGAGTCGTAGATGAGAATCTGAAGTAGGAAACCTCGTGAGTGTGTGTGTCACTGTGTCCGATCCACAACACCACAACGCCTGTGCTGTGGACGCGGCGATAGGATTCGCACTTACTCGACCGCGTGAATTCCCCGTGTAGATGTGCGTTCCACGACGATCGTAAGAGGCAACGATGCTGGGGTCATTCTGTGGTGTGGATAAAAGGGCATTTTTACGACTGACAACTGATTAGTAGCAATGTTTTTACCACAGTGATACGAGAAAAAGAAGTAGAATGCAAAGTCAGCCAGACGAGGTGAATAGATTGAAACCATAGCATGGACAGACAACGTAAGGGGCGGAAATAACTTAAAAAGCATGTAACAACGATGGATATAGTGGAAGAACCAAGCGCACACTCTGAGAATCGATGTGAGACAGTGACGAAGGGTAGTTTGGTAGTGAGGTAAAGAGAAGGGGTGAAGACCTACCTCGTCTTCGTGTTTGATGATTGTCGGTTTCCCGGTTTCTGTATCGATTAAAACAGGTGGGTGGCGGAGGGGGCAGACAAGGATTTCGGAGGCATTACGGGGGTTAAATTGGACCTTCATGAGAGGACAGGGGAAGGTGAAGGTTCGCTCGCACTCTCCCGTGACGATGTTCCAAATGGAGGCGCTGTTGTCGGTGGAGGCTGACAGGAGTTGGCGGCTGTTTCGGCTCCAGCTGTAAATATTTTGAAAGCAGAAAGATACGAAAATTCGAAAATAAAGAGATTACCGGCCAAATACCAGCACAGAAGCTGTGCGTATGAGTTGAACAGAATTAAAACCGGTCACAAATCTGCCTCTACTTTTGTTGCGGTTGCCCGTAACAAAGAGAAAACTACACATGTGCGTGAAATGAACCTCAAGCACTGGAGACCATGTTTAAACAGTTTGACAAAGACGAATTAGATCGCATGTTGCAGTGTACAAAATTATGTTACTACTAACCGATATTAAGATTTGACAGGGCGAGTATAGTCAGAAGTTCAAGCAACAAGGAGAATTACCACAAAGAGCAGACAGGATGTGAATGCGCCACGATGACCTTGGCGATTCTTCGGGTAACGAAGTCCCAGATTTCAATACGACCGTCATTGCAACCGATGGCAACCAAACTGCCGGGTCGATTAAACTGGAGCGTAACAACAAAGGTAGCACACCCCCCATCTTTGCCTGATTCGTCCTTTTTAATTCTTTCGAGGTGACCATCAGCTGCCTCCGGGTAGTTTTGATGAAATGCCTCTAAGCATAAATGAATAAAGTATGGTGAAGATTTTGGGCGCATTGGGAGGTGCACTCAGTGGACAGGCAAAAATAAATAACTGAAAAACACATGAACGTAGCAGTAAAGAGTGACAAGTTAATAGGCAACCATCGGTGAGAAACACGTAAATATATTAAAAATACCCACCCAAGAGTTCAAGGTTCATTTTGAACACGAAATTGTACTCTTTCACAATTTGGGTAGCGCGCTAGTCAATTCGCATCATCATCAATAGAGCAAAATTCTGTCGCAAGTGCACAGTTCATTTGGACAAAGAAATTTAGATTTGGAATATTTAGTTATATATGGAATTAATATCGAACAAGTTGCTCTAAAAGATAGCAATGAAAGCTGATGCGTATATTATTTTTAATTCGAATAAAGAAATAATTGAACAAGTCATTGGGAATCAAAAGGATATTTGTACTGCCATCGAAATTAATACCATCGCACCAAATTAATTTAAGCGTCACGACCAGTCATTGTGTACTTGTGAAAATTTTTTTTTGAAAAAACGCCTTGAACACTGTGCTTGAGCCAACACAACCTTTCCTTACCTGGAACTATTCTAAGCAAATAACGAGTGTTTCTAATTTTTCAGGCTGGATATTTTAATTTTTATTACATTTTAAAACCTATAAAGGGGATGGTTGTTTGACACTATTAAGTTTAAATTTTGAAATTGCACATTCATGTATCTTACCTTCAATTTGGACTTTCTTGAAATCTTATGAAAACGTTTTTTGTTTTTTGTTGAATATACGGAAGCTAAACTGACCCATCTGTCGCATAGAGAAATTAATTTATCCCATTAGAAAATTTACTTCCTACGGTGAGACATACAGTGAAATATCCGAGCATTAGATGGTTCTATTTATTTTCGTTAATTTATGTATTTTCCCTTTACAGTTCAACAAAATGACTTCTGTCAATTGTGTAACTCATTGTCATTGATCGGATTTTTTGAATTAAACTTTGTCTTAAGTTTTTACGGGACATAGCTTAGAAACATATATTAAGAATGTCAAATTAATAGCCTAAAACCATTTTTTGATAAGCCCATGTTGTCGAATTAGAATGTAAAGCAATTTTGAATCAGTTCGTGAAAATGAGCATCAGAATTTTTTCTTGTTCTAGTCACTTTTTGGAATTTCATCCCACCTAGATTTTGATTAATGCAATATTGTGCAAGTTGGAACAATTGCCCTGAAATTTGTGCAAAGGAGGTTGATTTGGACTAGATCAACTATTGGTTTATTGGCAGGAAGGCAGACACCAGGTACTTATTTTAAAGTGCCATTTGACGGTCTAATTTGAAATTAATTTCTGAAGCCTTCAAGAATATTACTGTGTACTTGTAATTAATAAGTAAAATTGTTGTTTTTTAAGACCTACACCAAGTAAATGGTTCTAAAATTGACGGGTCAATGACATCGGAGACCCTTTGGGCGAATTTTACCATTTTATGTAGTTATATCGTGAAAAATTACATTGCGTAAGGGACTGTTACTGTCATCCTCGAAAAAATGGTCTTGGAGCGGTAACCACTCAAATTTTGCGAGGTTTCGGTTATTCCTTAAAAACACCACCAAATCTGTTTATGCATAGAGGCGTAAATAATTATAACGACGGGTTTTAAAGTGCTCGAGGTAATGACAGTAAAAAAGCACCATTATTTGAAAAGTTGGTCAGGGTGCGCGAAATCGCATTAATTTTCGCTCACATGTGCACTTCCTTCCTCTCCAAAAACCGGCACATTTTGGACAAGACGTGCTCGTAAATGATGACGCAACTCACAGCATCGTAGATGAACTAGAAAACCGCGGGTTTGTGTTGATTTAAATAAAGAATAATTGATGGAATATTTGGATTTTTAGGATGTTTTTGTGCGAACACGCAAATTCACACACGGCCCGCCTAACAGGTAAGCAGGCGAGAATGCGTTTACACGAGGTCTGGCGTACTTTATCGAAGACTTCTACTTTTTTTACTGAAACATATTTCTGGAACATTTCTTTATTACGCCATAAATCCATTCAGTGCAGTTAGCCTCTAAGACGTGCTTCCAATTTCCTATCTTCAAAAATTGTTCAAGTTCAAACCGTTGACGGAGTACTTACCAACCACCAGAGTCAGCCTTCGATTAGCCTATCACAGCTTCGATTTTTTTCAAATCATCAGCAATATCATCGTCTGCGGTAACATATTAGTGACCTGTCGCTTAAATGGTAAACTGGTGAACTATTGTTTCATTTTTCTATTTGAAGTGCTCTTCGTGCATCTTCGTCTCATTCAACAACCATTTTTTTCAAAAATTAACCAAGTGTGAACCGTTAACGTGGTTCTGACCAATCAGCAAAGAGTCAGCCTTCGATTAGCCTATCCCAGCTTCGATTTTTGTCAAATCATCAGCAATGTCAGCAGCTGGCACTAGAATGTCAAACTGGAGAACTAGGGATTACTATTTTTCATTATTTTTTTCTATTTAAAGTGCTCTCCGTGCATCATTTTCTCATACTACCAGCTTCCCTTACACACTTAAACACGCATCCAATGGCAATTAGTGCGTTCATTCTTTTAATGCCCCTAATAACACCCGGTAAGGCCAGTGGGATTGTAATTATCTCTATCGCCGTCTCGTTATCAGCGAAGTTTATAAATCACTATTGGAGACTATATTATTAGCAGCAGTGAGTTAATTCACTAGCTAAGCTTACTACTTAATTATGCTGTGCCGTGTAACCAACTAGAACCACTGACGGCTCAGATCTGTGTTCACTGTGCGACTTCAATTCTGAGTTCAAGTTGCCACTCGACTATATTTATTAATTTAAACAAATTGGTTTCATTAAAAGCTCAACACTGGGTGAGAGCCAACAGACAAGCAAATCAAGGTCAGGTAAACTCATAAGTTCTTGAGGGGGGGGATACTAAAGCCGCATTAACCAATGGGGACGCTGAAACAGGGGAAAGAAGGGATACAGAGTTTTTCTAGAAAGAATTCTAGTGTCAGGTCGTCTAGGCAACCGCAGACGGAGACGATGGACGCTGATCGTCACAACTGATTATTGGGCGAGTAACCCAGGTGCCCGGACATGCGATACATTGCAATGTAAACGAACACATCGTACTGAGCGCCACAGGCATCGAGTAGGCATTTAAACAAAGAAAGGAGTTATTGGGACAAATGTTCCCCATTTAAATGAGGAAACAAACTACTCAACGATTAGGTAAATGATGTAAGTTGTACAATTTTTTCTTTGAGCTTAAAGTTATATTTAAAAAAGAAATATTTTCGCAGTCTTTTGTACTTTTGAAAGGATCGGACCCAAAGGTTTCAAAACACCGAACGACAAGTCTACGTGAGTTACACAACCACTCAGAATAACAGAATTGACGATGGCAACTGATTAACATCACACTCGATGGAAATGCATTTTACACGAATTCCAACAACAGGGAACAAATGCTTCTGAAGCGCAAGGGGAATCAATTTGTAGTGTTCTTGGTGCCGATGTTGTGTCTCATGAAACGTGTAGTTATTGGTGTACTAACGTTTTAGAAGTGGCAATTTCGACCTTAGTGACCAAACGCGCTCCAGACAGCCTCAAGGTTTAGACATGCGGAATTGCAGTCTCACTTGGCTAAAGACTCAACGCAAACGCAACAAGAGCTTCCAACGCACTTGGGAGTCATCCAAGCATCTATTTCCAGGCTTTTGAGTCATCAACTTTAAAAATTCAAAAACCTGGAAGTTGGGTCCCCCACAAGTGTTGACCCAACACCACCCAGCTCAACGCATGAACACATGCCTTTCACTGCTTGTCCGCCAACAACAAGCAGTGAATGAACGTCATGAGAAGAAATTGTAGTTTTTACGAGAATCTCACAGGTGAAAGGGTATTGTGGGGAGATCCTGAGCAGCATCCCAATCGTACATCGACGCCGAAACAGGACATCTACCTGAAGAAGGTTCTCCTGTGTATCTAGTGGAACACGAAGGGTGTACCTTGTTGCGAATGGCTGAAAACTGGTCAGACAGTGATTGCGGAACAATAAAGTCGATAATTTGGCAAATTGAATGAAGAACTTGATCGGAAAAGGCCACTTACTGGACAAGGAAGCAGGCAAGTTCCACTGCTGCTGCTGCTGATGTTGCTGCGTGCCAGAAGATGCTCTTGAACCTGGCATGGGAAACTCTCCCCCAAGTACGGTGTATTCACCATACTTGGCCCATCCGACGACCGTTTGTTCCGGTCAATGCATTCGTGCATTACGTGAGGGATGGTGCAAGGTCATAGAAATCGAAGGACAATATTTCCGAGATTAAGTTCGTTGTTGTTCATTTTTATTAATTGAATAAATTTGATGAAAAATCCGTAAAAATTAGGTCACACACCTAATATTTGTTTCTCATTTCCTCAATGCATGAATTTCGATTTAATCTTCCCATGTATTCGATTTTGCCAAAGTCGATGAAAGACAAAAGATGACAGCACAGTATCTGGCAGAATCCCTATCATTGATTTCTTTTCGAAAACATTGCGACTCACTTCCGAATCGATTATTTCGAGTACTCCCCTTCCCCGTCCTCGTTTGCAGATTTAGTCTTGACAGGTCACTCTTTAGCCCACTCCAAGGTGACAGCAACTAATCCTCCCTCCCGCCCCTCATGTGATTCTTGAGTGAGAAGGGCCGGTGGTGGTGGTGGCAGTGGTGGTGTTTGATAGTTGAGATAATTAAAAGGGGAACAGCTCATTCGAGGGTCTCACACCACCCTCCTCCTTCTTGTTGTCCTTCATACTTGAAGTGTTTATTAAATGCATGTGACACCTACGTGGGAGGGTCAGCTGGGTGGTGGGGTGGGGGTGGGGTTGACACTCACCGAAACCCGGTGTGTGCGTGCGCGTTTGTGTACCCGGCGCGAGAGCCTTTTTCAAAACTGGCAAGAAAAAGAGATGCCCTTTTTCCCCTCTAATTACGCCTTCTATCTGCTCAAACACACTTTGAAGTATGACTTGAGGGAGAGGCGATTTGACAGTGTAGGGATACCGCCTTCAGGAGAGCAGACCTTTCAAGACCCACTAAACCCCTCTCTCCTCTTCCAAGAGTTTTTCAAAATCAAATTCATAGATATTGGGCGATTTCTAGTTCGAATAACCAATAGTCAAACCCAGAGCCTGCATCAGCCAATGTAGTTGGTCTATTTTACTAAAAATATCTTCAAAATGAAATGACAAATGTCTTTTAGAAACTTCTTTTCATCCTTAAGTCCAAAAGGCGTAAGCACAACGGGTTTTATGAAAATTTTTGTGCGATGTTAAGATAGAACTCCCAGGAACGATCCTTATTGGCTAGAATAACAAGGTAGAATCTGGGACTCATTACAGTCCACTCGTAACGTACACTAAACTTTTTCCTTGGCAGCCACACAAACAACACGGTAGGGTAGTTATAACCATTTACTCACACGCTAGGCGCTGGAGTCATTGAACTGCCATCAGCCAATCAGCTTTACGGGAAATTAACTTGTAGCCAATTAGATTGATACTCATGAGCCATTCTCACATCGATTGCCAATAAGGGCCGATATTGTGGGTTTTTCGGTGTAGGACTCGATCGCTAACGTGAGCAAACGTTCTCTGCTCTGCTACGAAGGAATATTCATCTGCAATGCCACCATAACTACGCCAACAAGATCCTATCAAACAAGCAAAGTCTTTCTCATCTTCAATCTAAGCTCCTCGTTTATCGTGATGCTCCCCGGTTCAAATATCGCATTTGGTTTGTTTTCGCCGTCCAAAATCTGGGTCAAGGCCACACCAAACTCGAAATCTGACCTGTATCAACATTCGTTGCCAAGGTATCTCAAACTAATTATGTACCAGCGTTGACCTGCTCTGTAAACATAGTGTTCCGATGGTAATTTTGTCAACAAAGACACGCAGCGGTCATGTGTATTAGCTGATTGGATTTGATCAAAATCAATGCTTTCAGGGACAGGAGTTTGGACCTAGATCGATAGCCACAAATCAATTTTGTCAGGTGTGACGGAACAAACTGAATTATGCTTTTGACCATTCAGGTCTAAGCCGAGTCGAGTTCTCAAAACAAGGGGACACATGAATTAGGATTCCGTGGGATTAGCTAAACAAACGTGAAGGTCAATAGTCAGCTCTGGTCTCTGCTGTTTCCAGAAGGTTCTAAAGACAGCTTCAAGATTGCCCAAGTCCATTTTCACGCAGTAAACGATGTAGTCCCCTTCTAAATCGGCAGTGCTTCCAGCATCGATGAAAGTGTACAACAGTTCGAACAGTGTTCACCGTTTAAGCGAACAGACCATCTTTGGACGGAAATGCAACAAAGCTGGCATGTACGTTTCAGCGTCAAAGGAGCCACATGCTTCGGATGACCGTTAGGTTTAAAGGACCACCAATGGTCAATATTATGATGTCGATTTCCGAAATAGCGTGTGCAGTTATACCTTTGGACAACGCTTACTGGTTTCCGTCAATCGATAAATTGCGGACGTCTTGAATCAGGTTCATAATATCTTCTCCTAGGTTGTACGAAGTCAACACATCTGTTATCTTGCACACACAAAGTGCAGTGTTAGTGTGTAGTCCTCTGTTTATGAGAAGTAGTCTTCCATCTCTGAACTGGCATGACCAATCAGAACGGTGGGAATGCAAATTCATGCATTCAAACACGGCAGTGGCGGTCATTCGACAAGAATGTGAGTATGCCCGGTTAACAAAGTCTATATTTCCTTAAATAACCTTATATTTTTCTTCAAAATAAACACATCATAAGCCTGGCAAACTGCTGTTTTATTCGACATTTGTTTCTGGGGTCAAGGTGATTGGCGTTTGGGTTCACGATTTCATCAGTGAGTTTCGAACCACGAATGCCAAGTAAGCGCAACTTCGACTGTGGAAGTGTTGGAATGTCAAGATTATTTCGAGACTAGTTCATTGCATCTGCTTGGTCTGGATCGTAAAGTTTGGTCATAAAGTCAACATTCCAAAATGCCGCGAATCAGAAGTAAGAATATTATTTAAACAAAGAATTTAGATTGAAATATCGGTTACTACGTTTGTTGTTTTAGTGTTCCTTTAGTTTACAGAGTTTTGCGTCACTAGGAGGCCATCTGTTGTTTGCCCAAAGACGTCCAAGTTCCTTTCTTTCAGTTTTGCCCAGCTATTCAAGCAGGATAATCATAATCATCATCATCATCATCACCGTGCGTCAACTCGATGCAGACTGAACAGCAGCAAGTCAGGGAACTTTTGTCCTGACGAGATTCCGAATTTTCACTGACGACACCACAGGTCGTTTGCCTGTCTGGTCGGTATTGCTACATCAAACACAAACACACGCACACACAGAGTTTAAAAAAAAGCACACGTGTAGCATTCCCTTCCTTGAGATCAAAGGTTGCTAACAAGTGAAAAAGATTTCTTTTCTGGCTGTTAAATCATGTATGCATGTGTTGTGCACGATCTACACGTGTACGAGAGTGCATTCACTGCCCCAACCCCACCACCACCTCCCCGTTCCCATGCAGGCACGATCGGAAGACCCCTCGTGCCCGACCAACCAGTGCCAAATCAAAAGGAGACAGAAAAAGGTACTGAAAAATAAACAAAAACGTGGTGACGAGGATTTATACGAAAGAAATAGCTAAACTAAGGCCACAACCATTTACAGACATGCTGATTTACTCCACAAGTAATCACTCAACTCAAACAGAAGCTGCTCACATTCAGCAATCTTGTCTTCACTTGACACTCACCGTCTCATCCAAAAGTGCAACATGAACCTACACATCATCCAATCAGACTGCGATTCTGCAGTGAGGTCCTCTCCTATTGGTCACTGTCGTGTCACCTCACATCTACCAACAACCGTCCCTAATACTCGGGCATCCTCTCATCACCATGGATGAAACTACTTCCACAGTGACGTAAACTCCCTTAAAATATTCAATTCCAGATAGCGTGTGTGCGATGCCATCAACGATCATTCCAGAAACTGCATATCTGAGCGACTTGGCAACGCCCATTCTGATTGGGCATCACAAGCAAGTCCAAACGCTGGTTCACTTGTGCCTCTGACCATTCCACCCACAAGTAGTCTAGTGTAACACGTTTAGAGGGGTGTTGGTGAGTCGTTGGTTCACACAAACTACACACGACACTTCACAACTTCCTCTATCAAATTAAACAACTGCCTGCTTCTTCGAAATCAGCTGGCGTTACACATCGGTACACGCTTTTTTGTTTCATGTCAAAGGCGATCGTTGTCGGAAGCAGAAGGGAACCTCAAATGGTCCTCCACGTCTGTGTTTCGATTCTGTTCCGCCGTCCACAACAGCTGCCCTTCCAGGTGCAGCCCACATCTGGTGCTGCCCACCGTCCACTTGGCCGCATTCCCCTATGGAAGGCCACGCACCATCACGGTGGTGAGTGGACGTGCTCTCGCAAACGACGGGACCTGCCTGCACAAGGCAACCCCGTGGACAAACAACTACATGTTTCTTCACCTCCACCCTGGGTCACACGTTTAGTGGCGAAGTTCGATTGGTGGAGAAGATCGAGGTGAAGGGGAGGGGGTGCAGAAGTGGATTTCGTGCTGTGCACTTTGTGCCTATTCAGTGGCCTGATTAATACCGCATAATGCGAAGTACTCTCTTGCACGAGCGTAGCCTGAGGTTGCCTGGACACCCGTGCTGAATCGTTTCGTTCTACTACCGACAGCACTGTATTAACATCATCGACACGAAGTGCAGCATTACACGCACACTAACTCAACACCAGCATGGCCTTTTTGCCTGGCTCTTCGCTCACCATCGGACCACATGCCTGCCGTATGCGAACATCGACGAAAGTGTGCGCGCGCGTTTTCTTGTCCGCGTAATGCCCCATCTGAATTCCCCGCTCACGAAGACGCGACACCGCAAGTGTGTGCTTGGACATCCCCCAGAACAGTTGTCAAGGTGATGCCCAAGTTCTGCTCCCTTGTACACTGCACACCTAGACAAAGTGGCCTTCATCATTGGCCAATGAAGACGCAGGGCAGTGTGTCTGAGGTGCTACAGTGAGGTGTGCAGCCCCGCGTTACGATTGGCTAGATTGCCTATTTCCGGGTCGTCAGCTTCTAAAGCAGATAATCGATGGAGTCATTTTGCATCACGATGTGTCAGCTTTGGTGAGAGTGGTTTGGCTTTATCTAGCAAACTCTAGCATAGATAAGTGTTGTAATCACGAAAAGTATCGATTATTGAGGCACATATAACAGCATTACTCGCTGGGCTCTCGAAATTCAAACGACCACCAAGAGAGTGTGCCAGTCTAGTAAAACACAAATCCAGGGTCATTAATTCGAGATGTGTTACTTTGAAATTGCGGATTTCGTGAGTGCTCTGTCCTGAAGTTTTCGTAAAGCACACGCTCAGAGACGCCAGGCTTCGATTAACTGATGAGGTGATGGGAAAGCGGATAATATCGATTGGATCAATTCTTAGAAATGAACTGGTTATCAAATATCGACACGAATAAAACCTCAGACACAAAAATCAATTTTTTAGCACAAAGACGTTTTTAACCAGACCAGAAGGGGATTTGTCGCGACAATGATGCGTTTCACTTAATTGATATTGTCAGATGCAGTTCCTGACTAATCTGTCTTGGCGCGGTTTCAATCCCACTCCCGTGCTAGTGGCGTCATTAGGAGGCCCTTTTTGCTTCATGAGCGGTATCAGGTGACGTGTGACAGGCTAAGTTATATTTACACCAAAGAAATCGCTACACCCAGTTGCAAATTACGAGATGCGACACTCACTTGGCAGCGTCGGCGTCACTGCAGAGAGGCATTTTCCGCCAGGATTTGACATGCGTAGGATGGAGCCAGTTATTACTGCGCAGCTGCCAGCTCCAGACGCAGAACAAACTGCGTTTGCAATTAATTCGGAAGTTTAGAGGGTGACTTGTGACCTGCATGAAGGTGACTTCAAGAGGAAGGTTTAGTCCGTGTGATAGGTCAATCGAGATTTCATCTCGTTCGCCTTGTGCCAAGGCCTGTGGGGCGACCTTTTTAAAGTGCATTCGCTTAGCTGGGCTTTGCTGGAACGGCTAAAAAGGAGGCTTAAAAGGAAATCTTTTTGTTCTTACGCACCCTTTTGTAATCCACCTGCATTTTTTTATGCAGGCGGTGCTAGAGTAACCGCCGCTTTATATCCTCATCATCAAGTTTTTTTTTTCAGAACCGAGTGTAGAGGACATTTATTTGGTTTGGCGCCTTAAATTTACACAAAACTGATTTGAAAACATTTACTTTTGTTTGAAAACACTTAAACCAACTTAAAGTACACAATGAATTTGGACAAAAAGTGCTTCGTCTTTTGGATTTTAACTCACGTTGATTTCACTGAAAAATCGATTTTTTTCATCGATTTGTTTTTAACTGCCACTCAGGCGAATTCAGCTTGACGCGAAGCGCTGAAGCGGCACAAAGCCAGTCATATGCGGATCGTGTCATCATATTTTAGCACTGCTTGCAGGTAAATTGACGGTTTCTACCTAAAAAAACGGGTTTTATTTTTTTGTGCGTTGCGCGTGCACGCCGAAGTTCCACACGCCATAGTGAGCGAATCTTGTCAGCTTTTTTCTCTAACTCCCACAACAATTGATGTCGCGCGCGATCCTGTGTGCACTTTTGAATTCTCAGCGTTAATGGCCTCAAAAACACGCGTGATTTGCCGAAATGAAACCTCACAGCCAAAAATTTGCACCAGGCTAAATATAATTGCAGAATGCATTTATAAAACCGACTGTTTCTCGCAGACTATTACCCTCAGGCGTTTATGTGCCTGATGTTGGAATAGTTGATTTTACGCATTAGATGGTGTTAGTGGGGGACGGCAAGTGCGCAGTCGTATCTCCGCCCTTCCCCACTCCAGCGAGCGAGGTTGACATTTTCGACAGGAGACCGCGATATCCCCTCACTGCCTCGCCCCAATCGCGCCCCGAAACTGCGCAAAGCCGATGACAAATTGATTAGATCATGACAACTTCCCGAATGGCAGAAAGCGGAAAAAGAAGATTTACATCTGCACGGGGTTATGGAATTTTCCTTCATTTTCCAAATCTATTTTAGTTTGGTTTTTTTGCATTTTCTTCAAAATACGACCTTACGAAATAGTTGTGGGGTCATTTCGTGACCCGATATTTCGTAGACTTCGAGTCCTTTCTTAACTTGGGACACATCAAACTCAATAAATCAATAAATCGACTTTTTAAACCTTTATTGGTTAAGTAACCAATTGTAGCCTAGGTGTGATCCTGGCTTTGCAACTTAAATCAATAAATCATCACTTCATCGAGCATGTCACTGGTATGCTAAAGGTTATGCAATCTTGTCACAGCCTCCCCCAAAATCGATACTACTGGAACCAATCAGGTGGTTAGAAAAGCTGTCCTTTGTTATAAGGGCGAAGACGCCACCAACACTACCAGAATACCATCGGGATGTGGAAATTAGGGCTCCCAGCATGCTTCAACTCTTTTCCGTTAGAAAAATAGTTTTCCTTCGACTGGGTGAACTTCGGCTAGTTTTGTCGGCCAAAATCACTGACGCACACACACACACACGAGACCAGGCATAGTTTATCTTTTGTCGCGAAGCTGTCGTTGTTTATAACAAAGGCTGGCTAGAGTGTGTGTGTGTGTGTAAAAAAGTTGTCTCGGCTAAATCTCCGACGTCAATTTCGTTTATTTAGCTTTCACTGAGAGTCAGTCCTGGTAGCCGTGTGTGTGTGTATATGGGTCCTTGTATTCCCAAATTTACGGCCACCAGCGTTAACCGACGTCCCATCACTCCGTCTCTCAATTTAGCCCCTTACTGTCTCCCTCAAGATCACACTGTCCTCCAACGCTTCCCCACTCAAGCCCGTTCTGCTTCTCTCTCATTTTTCATCACTGTTTACCAAACCAAACTGGCCATGGTGGATGCCACTTTCACGTGCAAGGAGGTAGTTGTGGCGATGGAATGGGCCTATCGCGAATGGCATGCGGAGACATACGTTTGCCCCCTCAGCACTGTCACTGCCTGCCTCCCGGATTCTGTCCCAAATTCCGAAGTACGTAGCTGCCTTTTTTTGAAAAGATCCAACAAACGTCGTGCCACGCTTGATAGGCTCCGCCACCTTCCGATGAAAAGGCTCCATTGAACTGAGTAGATAGCAGTTCAGTGAAGGATTAATGTTTGGAGATTATGATGCGTGTAGAGTGATTCTGTGGCAATGGAATTCCCCATTAAGTTCACGCTGTAAAACTGCACCATTTCGATCAGTAAGTCTTGGAAGTTTGTTGGAATTGATGCCGTATTGTGGAATGGCCTAACAATCAACAAGTGTGGTTTCATTGAGATGTCTGGGAAATTCCTTCACACCGAAAATAGGGATATTTTTGTCTAGTGGAGATCAGTTGTAGCCGTGGATGGCAACTGTGGTGGTGTTGTTATTAATCGTCGGAAAAGCTACCATATTCATCTGTTTCAAACACGGCCACACGAAGACCATGGACTAATCCTCTGACCGGCCAACTTCAATTTCAGCCAACAGGATTTTGATCTGTCCGTTTTGCAATACCGACAAAATTAACCGTTTTTAAGCCTGGCATTCAAGCGATGCTTTCATAACAGCACGGCACGCTATTCGACGCAACGCACGTCCATCAGTTGATCCTTTTTTTACAATTGTTTGGACTTCAATTGGCCGGTGAAACGGTTTTTATTTCACCGAAGCAAGTGTCAATAAAGTTTGCATAAAAAGGCGCCTCATTCTTTTTAAACAAACACACACTTCAATTTGATTGGCTGCTCTGTGGTTAGTGTTCATACCTAGTAGAGAGGATTGTCGACATGCTCAACTCGAAGGATTTTTTAGAGAGGTAGTCAGTTTGCATAAACCAAATCTATTTAGGAGAGTTTTGCGGGAATAGTGGAAAGAAATTGCGATTTTTTGGTTTGAGAGAGGAGTGCCGGTCAGAGGGCATTGATGCGACCAACAGAACCATGAAATAACCTCACTTGCACAAACGATCGTCGTTCACTTCTGATTGGGTAAAAAGTACAGTAAAAGTGCCAATTAGGAAACGAGAAGCTTGTTTGGGAAAAAGTAAATCAAACGAAACCAATCAAATGAACAGTAATTCAGCTGATTTCATTGGTCAACTCATTACTTTAGGACACATGACCGATTTATTCCTGTTTTCGCCCTCGTCTGCGTGTTAAAGGAGGAAATTCAGCCCTGGAAGCCTTCCTCGATAATCGAAGTAAGAAAGAATGGCGATTTTAATTGGGGTTTAACGTCGTGCCTTCCCGCTTCCCCGTGTCCTCTAGCCACCCCAAAAATGCCGTCCACCGTGCATGTGTACACGAGCAGCAGCTGATCGTAAATCAAGCAGTAAGCAAGCCTAACAGAAATGATTAAGTGGTGAGCGTGTGTACGAGGCTTTGAGAGGGCTCTGGGGGCGGGGTGGGGGTGAAGGGGGCTTAAAATTTCATCAGCAAATGGAGTCCTCCTCCACCTCGGAACTGGCGTCTGAAGGGCAGTAACTTGGTTAGTTGTTTTTGCAGCAAATCACATGGGGGAATGTGAGCACGCCTACCTTAGGCTGGCTCGAAATTGCAACCAGCATTTTCTAGACGGATTGGATTTGCACTCCAGGTTTCAAATTACTGGTTGGGTTTACTGTCTACACGTGACATGTCCCGTTGGTGGTACCAATTTCGGCTTCCCTTGATTTATCGATTTGGTCGTGAAAACGTAGGGATGGTAAATTCAACAGCTCCGTTCCGAAGTCATGCGAATGATCCTTCACAATTTGGGACAGATGATGTCAGTCGTGTTCTCATTGGTTCAGATGCTGGATGGGATCGGTTAATTGAGCATGCGGGCAGTCCGACTACGCCAATATCGATTGCGATTATTACAGGCAGATGTCTAATCACGTCTCACTAGTAATCAGCCCATCACCACGAGGAAATGTCGCCATCAACATCGACGAGGGTATTACACAACAGCTGCCATAAACAGTGTGTTCGCTGTCAGTTTCGATCCTCCACACCAAACGGGAAACGGCCTCGGACAACACACTACGACAAGCCATCCGTTACGTCCAAGGCGAATGGCCACAGGAGATCCTCGATGGTTGTTCCAGCGACATGGGTCCCTCAGTGGTCTAGACGACTAGCCGTCTAGCCATAGCCACAAAAATCATGGACGACGGTGTTTCGTACCTCGTGCTGTTGGACGCCAACTCTAAAAGGCTGGAGATCGTCACCAAGACCTCCTCCACAGCAACAAGGACAATGGCTTCCAGTTTACATCACAACAGTTCAAGGAGTTCTGCCGACGGCATGTGATGTTGGATGCCCTGTCCACATTCCAACGAGGGGCAGCATCAGCTTGTTTTCTGCATGGTAGCATTAGTCGTCGTTGACCTAGTCACGACTTCGCCTGGGTTGGCTTCTCACTTTTGAAATCGTGGCCATTTGTCACCACAGAGAAACCGTGGAATAATAAGCTTCCAGTTAGAATTCCGAGGTTTTTGGAATCCGAAATTTCTGGTAACAGTAAATGACCCCTTCCTGTGACCTGAGGCACAGTCTGCATATCATCACTTGCACGGTGAATCTGACTCCACGAAAACCCATTCTTCGGTATTAACTAGGCCACTGAAATACGTAACACGAATGCATTTCCACACGCTTTCATCTCCTCCAAAAGTCTAACTGTGTCAATGAACTTGTTAACTAAGGGCCAACAAAAGTAGACTAAAGTGTCGTTTTGGTGACCTTCGTGGTCAAGGTCACCGAGGTGCCGTCTGGCATTCCTACAACGCTGTCCAGTGCAAGCAGGTCCAGCCATTTTCGAGAGCCCAGCGATTAATGCTGTTATATGTGCCTCAATAATCGATACTTTTCGTGATTACAACACTTATCTATGCTAGAGTTTGCTAGATAAAG